TCATTGGTCAATGGTTAAGTAAGTTTTTCAGATAATATAAGCAATGGGTCACTAAATTTGGTGTATGGAATGATTGTATAGTGTACATATCCGGATGACAGGGTTTCATTTGACCTTTGACCTCATTTTCATTGTATATTGGTCAATGTTGGATTTCGCTGGTAAGATTTGTAAGCAGTAGATTTAACTATTTGGTTTATGGAATGAATGCAAGTGTACATGTCTGTCTGGCAGGGTTAATCTGACTTTTACATCATTTACATGGATCAGGAACATATATATTGACGGGACTTGACACTACCTAATTGTAGCCAATTTTATCGTCGTGTCATAGGTAATAAAGATACGATACGGAAACAGGCATGTGTTAAAAACGTACTCACTATTATCCTAATAATTTCTGATAATATCAAAAAAATGTCATTCAAACTAGTTTTACAGTGATGCCAGTGTATCAAACTTGTATTCTGTCACTTCAAATTTGTTATAACCGCATTCATTTTATCACAGAATGGTACAGAATGCAAAAGGGTAATAAAAAAATGGCACTGATTGCATTCCCAAATTCAAAAGCATTATAAAACACTTCACATCAAACAAATCACACTTATTTTGGTCATTCTATAATATGATAAAACTTGTATTTATTTACAATTAGAATTATGTTGTTTCTTTATTGAGCAGTTCCGATAGTTTTTTAGTCAGACGCACCAAAATTCATAAATCTCGCAAAGTCTTGAGGAGTCAAAGATTATATCAGATTTATACTGAAAAGCCTATCAGATTCATTTCCCTTTAGATATACTGTTCCCAGCATGGATCAGTAAAAATATTAAGTTCATGTGATACTTTATCTTAGAGATTTTCAACATAAATTCAATCATCAGTAAAGCAGGCAAGACATTTCAATTTGTCCACTCTTTTTTGTTTTGTTTTTTTATCTTTTTGAAAATATTAAACAAAATGTTTTTAACTTTGCATAGATGAATTAGAGTTTTATTTAAGAATAGACTTTCTAAAAATCCATTAGAAACACTAACTTCCTTGTTTACCTTGATCTATTCTTACATTTTCTTAGGTTTTTGTTTTACCGTTTTGTTTTTTTTTGTCGAGCCTGCGACTTTTGTTGCAGAAAGCTCGACATAGGGATAGTGATCCGGCGGCGGCATTAGCTAACTTCTTAAAAGCTTTATATTTTCCAAAGTGGAAGACCTGGATGCTTCATACTTTGTATATAGATGCCTTATGATATGAAGTTTCCGTCTGTCATATGTCCATTGTCCTTGACCTCATTTTCATGGTTCAGTGACTACTTAAAAAAAATGTTAAGATTTTTTGTAATGTTAATTTCTCTCTTATTATGAGTAATAGGATAACTATATTTAATATGTGCGTACCTTGCAAGGTCCCCATGCCCGTCAGACAGTTTTCATCTGACCTCGACCTCATTTCATGGATCAGTGAACAAGGTTAAGTTTTTGTGGTCAAGTCCATATATCAGATACTATAAGCAATAGGTCTTCTACATTTGGTGTATGGAATGATTGTGAGGCGTACATGTCCAACTGGTAGGTGTCATCTGACCTCGACCTCATTTTCATGGTTCAGTGGTTAAAGTTAAGTTTTTGTGTTTTGATCTTTTTTTCTAATACTATATGCAATTGATCAACTATATTTGGTGTAAGGAAATATTTTACAATGTACATGTCAGTCTGGCAGGTTTTATTTGACCTTGACCTCATTTTCACAGTTCATTGCTCAGTGTTTAGTGTTTGTGTTTTGGTCTGTTTTTCTTAAACTATAACCAAAAGGTCAACTATATTTGTTGTATGGAATGATTGTGAGGTGTATATGTCTGTCTGGCAGGTATCATCTGACCTTGACCGCATTTTCATTGTTCATTGGTCAATGTTAACTTAAGTTTTCATGGTTAAGTTTGTTTCTTAGATACTATAAGCAATAGGTCAACTATATTTAATGTATAGATTGATTGTAAGCAGTACGTGTCTGTCTGGCATGGTTCATCTGACCTTGACCTTATTTTCATGGTTCATTGGTCAATGTTTAGCTTTCCTGTTTAAGTCTGTTTCTTAGAAACTAAGAAACTATAAGCAATAGGTCAACTATATTTGGTGTATTGAATGATTGTAAGGTGTACATGTATTTCTGGTTTGGTTTATCTGACCTTGACCTCATTTTCTTGGATCATGTTAAGTTTATGTGATACTTTTAGTAAAGCTTTATATTTAGGACTATCAACATGAAATCAATGGTCAGTAAAGAAGGCGAGACATTTCAGCGTGTGCACTCTTGTGTAAGAATATATGAAAAATGACCATTTATCCAAGTCCATGTTCACCTGTACATGTTCTACCTGAAACGAGAGCCAGTCAAATAACCACTATTCCCCTTGTTATTATACAATCCATCAGTCTGTCTGAAAATCACAAAGGGTCTTAGGTTGTGTCATTTGTAATAACTGCAACACTTTTCCTTCAATATAGCATAGTAATTATAAACAGATTGAAGATGTGATCTTCTTATTTTGGACAAATGTGAATAAATATGGCTAAAAACAAAGCATTAGGGTAAAAATCAAGAAGTGTTTAGTTTTTTGTAACCAAGATAGATAGAGAAATCTGACTTGGGCAGAATGTTTAGAATGTCTATATTGACCAAAACTGTCAGATTTCTCCTTATAAGAGTTGTTGTCTTTAAATGATTGATTGATTGTTGGTTGCTTAATGTCCAGTGGCAAAGGCTTCAAATGAATATTGTTATTAATTTATAGTGGTTTTAGCCATTAATTTGAAAACTTATAGTTAAAGAGAAACAATGATTAGTAGAGCAATATCTACAAATAATTCAAATGGCAAAAATAGTTGGTCGTTTTCTTATAGAAGTGTTTGCCCTTGAATGACAAATTTTACCTATTTTTACAGGGTTTTTTTTATGCCCCACCTACGATAGTAGAGGGGCATTATGTTTTTCGGTCTGCATCCGTTTGTTCTTCCGTTCGTCTGTCCCTCTGTCCTGCTTCAGGTTTAAGTTTTTGACCCCAATTTCATGGTCCACTGAACATAGCAAATGATAGTGCGAGTGGGGCATCCATGTACTATGGACACATTCTTGTTTATCATGAATACAGAATTTAGTTTAATAAAAGCTAGAATAAAGCAGAAATTATTTTGGATATAAGATGCGAAATTTTTTGATTTTATCTGTGAGTATCATACTGTTGCAATGGAGGAGAGGTTTGTTCTATTAATCCAAACTGTTTATTATTATATAATATGACCGTGACGTGTCTTGTTATAGGACAACAATGAAAAAGTAAAAAAAAAAAGCATGTACTCAAAGAGTTCAGTTTAGAAAAATCATGCTTAATTTGCAATTTAATGCATTGACTGTTGAAGGAGGACTTGTAAAAAGTAAGATCAAACAAACTGGAGAAGAGAGGGACATGTGTTTGTATGGATATTTAAGGGCTACTGTGTGGGTGGTACCCTTGTGTACCAACAGTCCATCTGTAGTTGTACATCCTGAAAGGTTATCACTGTAAATTCAGAAATTTTTGTGAGGTTTTATTAATGCAAATAATGCGACTAGGTGAGTATCGCAATAATTAGAACTGGCATTCAGATATCTGATACATACATCTGTATGGAGATGTTCCTGAAATCGCAATAATAAATCATGCATTTTTGTCTGTTCTTCAAAAATCCCAATAGTAAATGCACGCAATAATTTCTGTGAATTTACAGTATATGCTAAAGCATGATATTGATTTCAGTGTGCTCCAAACATGTTTCTGAAATAACCTTTATTTGGTGCACTAACTTAAAATTTGGAAGCAGTAAACAAAAAATGTTATTGAGTGTCAAAAGCAAAAAGAACCAACAATATAGCCAAAATGAATATAAGGAGATGTGGTATAATTGCCAATGTGACAACTATCCATCAGAGACCAAAGATCGAGGAGGTAAACAATAAAAAGAGAGTATTGCACACTAAGTTTAAATACAAATGCATATATTATTAATTAAAAGCTTGAGGTGTTCTGGAATAATAATTTGATAGGTCTGAAACTAAAACTAAAAGTTTTTGGGTGTTATTGGAATAATGTGATAGGTCTGAATCTCAAACCATAAGTTTTTGGTTGTTATTGGAATAATGTGATGGGTCTGAATCTCAAACCAAAAGTTTTTGGGTGTTATTGGAATAATGTGATGGGTCTGAATCTCAAACCAAAAGTTTTTGGGTGTTATTGAAATAATGTGATGGGTCTGAATCTCAAACCAAAAGTTTTTGGGTGTTATTGAAATAATGTGATGGGTCTGAATCTCAAATCAAAAGTTTTTGGGTGTTGTTGGAATTATGTGATGGGTCTGAATCTCAAACCAAAAGTTTTTGTGTTATGGAATAATGTGATAGGTCTGAAACTTAAATCAAAAGTTTGGGGTGGTCTGGAATAATCTTCAGCAGATCGGTCTCAAAATGGAGAAGGTTGTACGTGTTTCTAAAATAATATTCTTCAGAAAGGTCTGAAACTAAAAGTTGAGAATGTTTCTGCAATAATTTTCATCACATTACTCTGAGACTAAAAGTTGAGGTGTTCAAGAATAATATTCATCAGAATGGTATGATACTAAAGGATTGATGAGTTTCTGGAATACTTTTCATCATATTGGTCTGAGACTGAAAGCGTTGAAAGCAACATACATAAAAAGAGTTACCAAGAAAACCAAATTAGTGAAACACTTAAATTAAAATTGTGGCAGCTCCTACTTGCAACATTAATAAAAACTTTGGTCAATGATTGATTGGTATTAAAACTTAGAGGTCTAGTTTAAAACATCAAATAAATCTTTGAGGAATAGTTCAAAACATTAAATAAAATGTATGGAGCTCCTATTTTCAAATTTCAAATTACATTTAGAGAGTATTCTACTTATAAAGAAACATTTTGAGTAAGTATCAATGTTTTGTTTTTATTTCAGGCATAAAAAACAGATTAAGGAAAACCAAATCACTGATAAATTTTTTTCAATGTCATCTATGTGGTGTAAGGTTTCTGTCCAAAGATAGCATGAACAAACATAACGAAAGAAAACATTTCGGACAGAATAGAGACTTGAAATGTAATCTTTGTGGTAAACAGTACATACTGAAAACTAGCTTATGGCAACATTGCCTTACAGTGCATAAAGGTAAAAATTTGTCAGATAAGTGGACGAAAGTTGAAGCAATTGAGCAAAATGAACAGCTAGAACTCCCTGGAAATATTAATTGGATATTAGCTCAAAACCCGAATCAATGTATTGATGTTCAAGAAAACCTTATTGATACAAAAGTTGATTTTAAGAAAATTTTACCGACAGAATTGCCACAAAAAGTTGTAAGGAAATCAATGCATAATCTTAAGATGAACAAGACTAATGATAAACAACATGAAAACATGGAGACAGAAAAAGAAGTAATGTGTAATAAACCGACAGGATTATTCTCAACGTCTACTACTGAAGCATCAACAAATCGTCGGGTCAGAACTAAGAAACTCAAATCTGTTCAAAAAGTTTTATCAGTCAAGACAAAAACTAAGAAAGGCATACTTAAAAGCAAAAAACTAAAAAAGAATAAGTTTAAAAAATTACAAAATCACAAGCAATTGACAGTCATGTCAAAATATGAGCTAAGAAACAAACTGTTGTCTGAGGTTAAGCTAAAAGGAAAAATCAAGTCAATAAAGAAACCATCAGAAGGCATACCAAAAACATTGTCTGAATCATTGGAAGGCATACCAAAAACATTGTCTGAATCATTGGCAGGCAAACCAAAAACATTGTCAGAATCAAAACTAGAACCGAGTGAGAGGAAACCTCACAATAGTTTAAAGGAAAACATCATGTTGAAGGATGTTAAAATTCTGGTTAAGAAATTTGTCCCATTACCTCCAGTCATTGACAAATCTGAAAGGCAAAATGAGACAATTTCAAACAATTTTGATCAAAATGGGGAAAAAGGTGAATTGCCCCAATTAACAGGAAAAATTGATAAAATTTCTGATAAGGTCTCCGTTTTGATAGATAGCAACAAGGATACAATAGATAAGGAAGAAGATGAAAAAACTCTTAAAAATATGTCATTGTTATTGAGTGGAACACACAAGGACAGTCTGCATGAAAGACTCATAATTCCTTATAGTGAGAAAAGTCCACAAGGAAGGATAGATAATAAGTATAAGGGTTTAAAGATTACACTACCGTCATCTGGTGAAGGTAGAATTGTAAGGAATGAAGAAAATCTTGAAGGGACAGAGTTCGAGAAAAGTCACAAAGTCTTAAAAAATCAGAAAGATTTTGTGAATTTTAAGATTACGTTGCAAACTAGAAGTGAATGTAGAACTGTAATGAGTGCTAATAAATCTAGTGTTGGAAATAGATCTGAAGCAAAAGGTCTTGATGGAAGTGATAAAACTAAAGAAAACAATATAATTCAAGAAAAAAGTCTGTTAGAGTCTGAAACTGAGAATGAGACTGAAAACCATAATTGTCCAACTGATAAAAATGCGAAAGAGACTGAAAGTACAGTTGGAACTGAACAAGATTTGAGTAATAATACTTCAAATTCTGTTCAAGAACCCGAAAAACTGGCGGAAAAATCAAAAATTAAAACCAGCAAGCGATCAAGATTAGAGAGTCATATTATGGAACCATTAGGAACTAAACCATCTGAAGTTGAACCTGTAAAACTTTTAGGAAAAACTTGCATTAGTATAAATTCCCCTAAGGCTTTACGTGAGCAACAAGAACATTCAAAAACTTTAAACAATAAGAATTTGGACAATTTAAAAGCAGTTGATAAAAAATCAAAAATTTCTAGAGCATCTTTGACAAGAAGATTTGAACGTGCACATATGCATTCAGAGCACCAAGACCATGATGACAATACACTAGATAGTTCAGAGGTAGATGAACAACTAGAGCAAAAACAAAACACTGTATCACAGAAAGATGACATTCAGAAAGATGCAAGACAGCAGTACAATAAATCTAAGCGACGGTCACCAAAAGTTTTATTAGAAAAACTTTCAATAAGTGAATCTGAACAGACAGTCAATATCAGTAGCATGCCACTATTGAAAGATCGGTACACTAGAGTCACTGAAATTGAGAACGTATGTGCCTCTGGTAGAAATTTAGATCCATTATTTGGGGTTAAATCAAGTAGCATTGAGGGGGAAATCAGCGAGGACGAAGAATATGATGAAGAAAGGGCAGCAATTGTAGCACAGCAGATTGCTGACTTGAAGGATATAGTCCTTTCAAGGAGGAGTAGAAAGTTCGGTGGTACCAAAGGTGAGAGCATAAAGCCACAAAATGAAAAGAAAAATATGATTCCTATTGAAAAAACAGACAGTTCAACAGATGTGTTGAAAAATGAAGCAGAAAAATTGGAAGAAAATGATACCTCAGCACTGTTGTTTGGTAAAAGAAAAGAGATCTCAGAAATTGAAAATGAAAAACAAGCATCCATTACAGAATCTAAATCAGAAAAGCATGATGATAACTGTGATTTGACAGAACAAAACACAAAAAGAATAAGTTCTGATAAAGGACAAAAAATATCGGAGGGATGTGGTAGTGGTTTGCACTTACATTCAGAAATTGACTCTAATCTGCATTTAATAAGGAATTCTAGTGGAGAAGAGAAATCCATGTGTCAAATAAAATTACCAGATGAGATTTCTAATTCTAAGAAGAGTTCTGTTGTCAGGAATTCATTTGATTTGTCTGTTAATGAATTAGTTAATTCAACTCCAGATCTTCTCAACAACTCGAAAGAAGTAAGTGGTAAAGAGAAAAAGAAAAGAGGACGTAAAAGAAAATCTGCTGACACTGAAAGAATAAGTGATGATAAACTTACAAATTCTGCAGATGAGTCCTTATCTTCTTCTGAGAAAATTGTAAACAAAAAAGGAAATCCAGGGAAAGGGAAAATAGCCAAAACTGGAATTCCATTGAAAGTTAAATGGACAAAGAAGAAACCAAGTGAAGTGCAGAAAAATGTTGAAAAACAAACTGAACAAGAAAATGTTATTCAACAAGTAGAAATTAAGGAGAGTTTTACACAAAATTTACCAGAAAATGTTTTGAAAGTTGAATTAGAACAATCATCTGCATCAGAAAATGAAGGACAAAAGAAATCAGATGATCAGAATGATATTGAATACAAGGAAAAAGAACTCCAAAAACTGGGGAAAGAGATGAAAAGGTCATATGGAAGAGCTGGCATACTGGTTAGTGAAGAGAAAACAGATGAGGTAGATAGTGCATTAAGGTTAGAGAATGTTTTACAGAGCAAGAAAAAAGGAAAGGAAAGTGCAGAGAGGCCACCGGTGTCCTTGGATATTAATGAAGAGAACAAACTAGTAAGTTTGGAACAGGATAATAATGAGGAAGAAATTGGGGAAGCCTCAAGCCAGATAGATGAGAAAGACAATCAGCTGCAAGCTCAGTTAGAACCTGCTGAAATAGATGATTCTTGTCATCCACAAATAGATACTATTGATATAATTACAAAACCAAACAAAAAAGGGAAATCAAAGACAGCAAAAACAGAAAAACATCATTTGAGAAATCTACCATCTCGTGGTAAGCAGAAGCATCCAACAATGATTTCTAGGAGGAAAAGAAATTTAATTATCAATTCTAACTTGGATTTATTACTGGATGGTAATCAGAATGTATTGCCAAATTCCAGAACTCTTGAAAGCTTTCTTACTGGTGTCAATGTAAATGGATCACCACCACCAGCACATTCTCCAGAAATGAGTGAAATAAGAACAGAAGTCGCAGAGGAATCCTCACAAAAGATACGACATCCCAGTGACAACACTGTAGTATATTGTGTGGATCAAAACAGTGATATCAGTGAACATTCAACGGAGACCGTGGAACATCAAGAAAATGATGATAACAAAGATCTATGTACCAATACTAGTTATGTAGAATTTGTAACACCAGTTGAAAACGTCTTTACCAAAGACTATGAATCGGTTACACAAAAGGAACAAGGGGTTATTGAAGGTCATGAAGCTCTTTTTCAAAGTGAATGCAAGGTTACAAAGGATGATGAATCCCTTCAACGAGATGAACATTTGATTACTAAGAATAATGAATTAGATATTCCAGATGAATCTGTGGTTTCAAAGGGTGATGATTTCATTCCACAGGATGAACATTTGATTAGGAAGAATAATGAGCTTAACCAGAAGTATGAATCCGTTAGACTTGATGAATCAGCTGTTTTAACTAAAAACTGTGAATCCAGTTCACCATATGTACCTAAGGCTTCTGATTGTGATGAATCTAGTCAATATTTTAAAATACTCAGATTAAATAAGAACCCATTTTTCTCTGACAAAAAACTTGTTCCTGTAGAAACAGCTGAGGAGCAAATAGATAATGAAGACGAAGAGCTTTCTTCTGAATTTCCCAAAATTATTCGTTACATTAATGATGAAACTGAGTTATCAGAGAGAGAAAATGGATTTGTTACTCCATCACTTCATAATTGGGAGGACATGTTTCCAGAAATGTTGGCTTTGCTGAAGAAGAATGGAAATGGCTCAAAAGATCTAACTGTAGCTTTTGAAGATATTGTAGTAACTGAAAAATCTGAGGATTGTTTTGAGATTGATTATGGCCTAAAAGAGTGTTCTTCAGATTTTCTTGCTTTGAAACAGTATTTAGGGGGAAGAAATTGGAAGAATTATGTTTGTGAACTGTGCGAGGAAATCTTTCACGGCCATTTAAAATTCTTAGATCATAAAGAACATGGGAACTGTGCTGCTCACTTTCCAAAAACTGATACATCTTACTCAAAATCACCATTAAGTCATTTGATTACTGATTCAGTACTAGATAATGATATTGACCTTTCAAAACAATTTGTATGCAACCTCTGTGGTCTACGTTACAAATTGAGGAAAAGTCTTATTCGTCACAAGAAAACTCGACATGCAACAGAAGAGGAAAGTCATAAACCTGGAAGTGAAAAATCTAACATACAAAATGTTTCCAAGAAAAAAACTGACAATGTGAGCAAATTGAAGAAAAGAATCCAGAATTTAAATAACACAATCTCCAAAGAAAAGAACTGTATCGAAAAATTGCCCTCAGATGACATATCAGACGTTCAGAATTCTTCAGTCACTGAAGGGGAAGAACAGTCATCATTTGTTACAATTGATAATTGGGAATTAAATAGTTCTAGTTATATGGACATGGTTCAATACATTGCAGAACCTGTATCCGACTTGGAACCAGATACAACACTGGTACAAAGTGATATTAATGAATCAGTAGGTCATGAAAATTTAATTGACGACAGCTATCAGAATGTTGACAACTCTACGGAAGTTTATCCAAGTGAAGAAGATGGTGATGATAACCAGGAAATTACAGGGATTGAAGAAGATGGAATGGAATCAGATAATCTGGAAGAGCAGATGACACCAGATCAGAATGGATATGAGGAAAATGTTGAGGATGGTTCTCCTAGAAGGACACTTCAGTTTACCAATGAAGAACCAACATCAATGTCCCATATAATGACCTTCAGTGAAATGAAAAGACAGTTTCCATATATCTTTAAAGAATTCAATATTTGTTTGGAGAGAATTTACATAGAGGATGACATTTTACATGTGGGAAATTTAATGCTGAAAAAAACTGGAAAGTATCGATGGAAAATATCATGTGGAGAGTCTGTACTTCCTACTGCAGAAAGTGAGGAAAATACTCCAGTCATTCAGACAAATGATTTTGATGTAAATTTTCCTACTTATGAAATAGATTACCCAGTGGCAAACAGCATAACAGATGATTATGCAACCAGCTTTTCTAGTCAATTGGATTACAATTCAGATAAAAGTTTGAAAAAAGAAACTGTTCAGACAAAGCCAAAGCAGTCAAAAGAAAAGAAACCTCAAATCCAAAGTCTACAATCTAGTCCAAACAAAAATCTAACTGATTTTGAAAAAGCTATATCTAAACCAAAGGAAATTAAAAAGAAAAGGAAGTTAGATAGAACACCTTCTAAAGAGGATTCCAATAGTCGCGACGGTATTGACTTCTTCAAGAAAGCAAGTGAACGTGGTAGTATAAGTCAAAATGATAATTATTTTATGTCTTCCAAAATAGCTCAGTCAATACTGAAAAAAAGGGCAAAGGAATCTGAAGAAGAACGCTTGCCAATTAAACCTTGTACAATAGAGGATATCGAACCATTTGAAACTGTTCTTGCTTCAAAAGATAAAAAGAATAGTGGCAAGAAAAGTCCTGTGAAAAAGAAAAAGCAGTCTGAGAATAAAAAGGAATCAGTTACTATGTCAATGTGTGAGATATCAGATAGTCATTTTACCAGCGATATGAATGATGGTTCAGATATAGGGTCTATGGCAAGGGAGGTAATCGATTCAGACACTTCTTTACAGGATATATCAAGTATGAGTTCATTTACAGTAAATGCAACGTCAACTCCTTTAGACGACAAACTTGCTTCAAAACTCAAACAGAAAAGTTTATCAGATAGATTTGGTGCTTTCAACAACTCAAACCAAGACAGAAGTATCGGATTAGAAATTTCTGACACAGCCGTTAAGGATTTTAAAAGTATGAGTTCAGAAGAGGTGATGAAATCAATGTTTGGTAGTTGTCTGGTAAAATTTGACAAAAAGTTCAGAAAACAGCCAGGACATGAACACGAAAAAGACAAGAATATGAGTATTAAATCACCATTAGAATCAATCAATAGGACTGTCAATGTTAAATTTGGTAATCGACCTGTTACAGATCTGAAACAAAGAGTGGTAATAGCGGCTGATGAAAAAACACCTGTTAGTAAGAAGAAACATTTACTGAGCATGTTGAGAGGAATGGACTGTCCTACAGGAAAGTCACTACATGGTGACATTTCCTTGACTTCTCCCAAGGATACTGGTGTTTTTTCTGATAGTCAGTCATATAGAACAGTTATTATAGATAAAGGGAGAGATAATGATGTTAGATCAATTGATACTGAAGCAAGTCCACATCAAGGATTATTCAACAATACTTCATATCTTGTAAAACCAATATCAAAGCAGATTAACTCTGGAATGGTGTCTTTATCAACAGAAGTTTTACAAAAATCAAATATGTCTGATAATCTGTCAGAAAAATCAAATTTGTCGTCTCGTTCAAAAACAGATGGGCAAACTATATCAGCAAACTTACAAAAATCAAATGTATTGGATAATGCATCATTGAAATCAGACTTGTCAGCATGTTCCAAAAAATCTGAGACAAAAAGTATTTCATCATCACATTCATCATCTAACATGGCTGACATCACAATAAAACTTCAGCAGACAGAAAGTTCATGGGTAGAGAAAAGGAATGACAACAAGATCTCTAGTGAGAATAGAACTCCATTGTCAGAGGACATGAATATGCAAGATGATAATGAAAGTGATACTTCTGATAAGTTTAAAAGGGTCGAAGAAGGGTCAATTTCTTCAAAACATTCAAACAGTACTGATCATTCTTTTCGGAGAAAGTGTCTATCAATTGAATCCGAAAATACACCAAGAAAGAGAATAAAACTTTCACGGTTACCTATTCAAGAGCCTCAGTTTAGAACTGAAGAAGAATCTCACAGTGCAGTTGCTCATGATTTGTTACAATCAGCTAGATTGAAAGAATCACAACCAGATCAGCTTAGCATCAAAACAGGTATATATTACTATTGTAATGGTTTATTGTCTAGCATGTGACTTCCGTCGCTGAAAGCGAGACATAGGGATCTAGTGATCAGCGGGGTCGTTAACTAATTACTTGAAAAGCTTATTATTTCAGAAGGTAGGAGATCTTTATGCTTTTGTACTTTGTAGATGTAGATATCTTATTGAAGTTTCTGTCTATATGTTCATTGTCTTTGACCTCATTTACATGGTTCAATGACGTCTTGAAAAAAGTTTAGTGATAAAAGTTAAGTTTTTGTGGTTTGGTCTATTTCTCAAAAACTATAAGCAGCCAGTCAATTATATTTGGTGTATTGAATGATTGTAAGGTGTACATGTCTGTCTGGCAGTAATCCTCTGATCTTGATCTATTTTTCAAGGTTTATTGGAAAATGTTGTTTTTTTCTTGTTTGGTTTGTTTTTTAGATACAATATGGAATAGGTGAAATATATTTGGTTTATGTAATGATTGTAAGATATATATGTATTTGTCTGGCAGGCGTCATCTGACCTTGACCTTATTTTCATGGTTTATTGGTCAATGTTAAATTTCTTTGTTTTTGTCTGTTTTCCAAATACTATAAGGATTGGTGAACTATATTTGGTGTATCGAATAATATATGTATGTCTGGCAGGTGTCATCTGACCTTGACAAAATTTTCATAGTTTATTGGTCAATGTTAAATTTTTAAAGTTTAGCCAATTTCTCAGATACTAGAAGGGATAAATAAGTTAATTATATCTGATGTATTGAATAATTCTTCATTTCCATCTTCATTTAATTTTTTTTTAACCAGAGATGACTTCTGATGATTATAAAAATCATTTTATAACAATAATGAAATAATAATTAAAAGTAAACCATCAGTGATAATTATTTAACAATGATTAACAGAGACATAAGAAGGTGTGAAAAAACAGGGTCACTCATGCATGAACATTTGTCATGTAATCACATGGTAATACAGTTGACCACAATCACATGAAAAAGATTGTCTGAATGTGTACAGATTGAACACCATTTTGTTTCCACAATAAGATGGCATTTACAGATTTGTTTTATACATATGATGAAAGATAAGTATATAATTTTTTTTTAATTTAATGGTAGGAAATATGACTTATGGTTAACATACTACTCAAAGATTGCTTTTTGTCTCGCCGTCAAGGAAAGTCACAGAATGCATGACATAGGGATTACAATCCGGCAGCAGGGGCGGCTTTCATGTAATACTGTTTGTATAAAGCGTTATTTTTCAGAAGGTAGAAGACCTGGATGCTTCATACCTTGTATACAGATACCTTGTGATATGAAGTTTCCATCTGACATAGGTCTATTGTCCTTGACCTTATTTTCATGGTTCAGTAACTGCTTGAAATTTTTTCGTTTTTTTGTCAAGTGAAATACTCACTTATTATGAGAAATAGGATAACTATATTTGGAAAATTGGTTCCTTGCAAAGTCCACCTGTCTGTCAGGTAGGGTTCATCTAACCTCAGCCTCATTTCATGGATCAGTGATCAAGGTAAATGTTACGTGGTCAAGTCCGTATCTCAGATACTATAGATATCAATACACAGTTGGGAAAAAAACTTCAAATTGACACTCATAATTTTTAAACACCCTCTTTCCCTTGCTTTCTAACAAATAAGGCTTAATGTTTGTGTTGTGTATGTGCATATGTATGGAAACAGCATCTTCCATATATTTGATATCCAATTGAGATAAAATGGTGAAATATAATCTCTTTTTTGGTGTAACCATGGCAACAATCTGCATTTATTTGATTCAAAATATTGCAAAAGGGGGGGTGGGGAAATGTCACAAAAGTCCCCAAAATTTGAACTTAAGTAGAAGTTCAATCCATTAGGGTGATACCTTTTCTGAAACCATTCACATTTATCTATCAAGAGGACCCAAAAAAAAAAATCATAATTATGCATTTCACCTTGTTTTTCCATAAAATTGAATTGAAAAGTTTGAGGGTCAAATATTTGTAGAAAACACTACAATAATTTCTGGACCTATGGGGGTATGGATGTGAAAATATGGACTGTCAAACATTAAAATGGCCTATAAAACATGCAAAAAACAAAACAATCTTGATGTTCATATAGACCCACTTTAAAGGCTATATTATTCTTCGGCTATCTAAAAATCAATTTTTTGCACAAAAACTTTCATATTTAAAAAATTCACCATGTCCAAAATGCAAAACTAAACTAACTGTATATTGCTACCATATAGTTAGGTCAACTTTATTTGTTATTTGATGATGTATGGAATGATTTTAAGGTGTACATATCCTTCTGGCAGGTTTCATCTGATCTTGATCTCGTTTTCCTGGTGCATTGGACAATGTTTAGTTTTTTGTGGCATGGTCTATTTCTCAAATATAATTAGCAATAGGTCAATTAGATTTGGTGTTTGGAACAATTGTAAGGTGTGCATTGCTGCCTGGCAGGGTTCATATGACCTTGACCTCATTTTCATGAATTATTAATCAATGATAATTTTTTCGTAATTTTGTCAATTTACCAGATATCCTCGTGTATTGTGTTTTCGACCTACTTACATATTTATCAATATTTCCCCTTTAATATGTTTGAACATATACATGCCTAATATTTTTTAGAGTCACTAGTATACTTATATATTAAATAATTGTATCTAAAATATATTTCGATCTTAAATATTTTTTTTATTTCAGTTCATTAGATCGATGGCACCTTTGTTGACAAAAACTAGCGTCTTGTGTTTTCGACCTATCTAAGAAACGGGTCCAAAGTCGGAAATGACATGTCGTACAAATCCGGAATTGGTTATAATTTGATGCCAATGTTTATATCAAATTATTTAAAGTTTTAGAGGCGATCAAACTTATGAATTAATGAATTAAATGGTGACATATACAACTATAAGATATAAAATATTATTTTGATATCTTTATTTGACTAGTTGTACACATTTCACATGAGGCACTTTGGAAACCTCGTAGATCCTTGTAGGACCTTGTATACAGTCATGTTTCTGTTCAATATACTTTAGTGAAGGCATTGTGAAGTGAGGTTGGTGAGTATTGTCTGTAATCTCCCCTGTTTCTGTGAATTAAAATTAATTGATATTTTATTTTTTTCAGTAAAAAGCTGTAAGGATCATCCACATTTCCGTATTAAAAATAACTTTTAAGTATATCACCTAACCACATGACAGTCATGTGACGTAATGACCTTGATGTTAACTTCACATGCTAAAAGTCTTCGGCCATATTTCTAGAATATTTGTTTATTTTTGATAGATTCTTTTGGAAGGTAAAAATAGTATTAGTGAAAAGGTACAAAAATGTGATATCAAATAAAATAACGTAAATACTTAATTATAATAACTTTACTAGAAACATCTTCACCACATGTGGTATTATTTGCTATTGTTACTAAATATAGCAGCCAAATGTGACGTCACACGGGCATGCGCAGCATACGGGAAGTGAAAGTAGAATTAGGTCGAAAACGTAAGACGGTCGAAAACACAATACGAGACGATACTATAACAACAGGTCAACTATATTTGGTAAATGGAATGATTGTAAGGTGTATGGCAGGGTTCATATATCCTAATATATATATCCTTTATATATGTAAGTGTTCAGACTTTCAACTTGATTTGAATGACAAGTAAAACAGGCGATACATTTCAGGGTGTGCACTCTTCTTATGGTTGGATGGTCATGTTCAGTTACCTGGTCTTTTATATTTTGATATTACCATATTGTTATGTACACTTTGACCTCTATATGTCTTTTGTTATTTATGTATTTATGTCATTGGCTTGCTGTCTCATTGAATTATATTCCAAATCTGCTTTCATTCATATTTTTAAAAATCTTTCAAACTCTGCATGATTGTTGAGTTTCAAAATGTCTCATTAGACAATACAATCTTACTACAGTAAGTTCAATATAAAGTGGCAACCTCATTATATCCTTGTTATTTGGATTGTAGACCTTGTCTTAAGGATCAATTTAATCCAGTTAAATCCATAAAAGCGCTTTGGATGCATGAAATTTATATCGTGTTTTCATTTTATACATCATTAGGTTGATACCTCTGCTGGTGGACAATTAGTCCTTGAGGGTATCATCAGCTCAGTAATTAATACTTTGCTGCTGATGTTTTATAAAAAACCTTTCTAAAATTATCCATTTATGAATTTTGAAATTATTAAGAAACTAAAGATTAAACTCCTTGGAATTGGCTATTTTTGTCCCCTGCTTAACGTGTTGCGAGGGACATGGAAATACCGGGCGTCCGTCTGTCCGGTCTTGTTAGGGCTCTCACAGGTACAATTCTCGCCAGATTTTTATAGAACTTATACTATAGATTAATATCAGCAATATCTCGGACAAGTTCTAAAATGGTGGACGATCGACTTTTTTTAAAGGTGTTATGCCCCTTTGAAATGTTAAATTTATGAAAATGGCCTCATTAGCGCTCTCACGGGTTCAATTCTTGTCAGAATTTTATAAAACTCATACTATAGGTTAATATCAGCAATATCTCGGGACAAGTTTTATAATGGTGGCCGATCAACTTTTTTTTCATAGAGTTATGCCCCTTGGAAATATAAAATCTATGGAAAATGGCCTCATTAGCACTCTCACAGGTACAATTCTTGCCAGATTTTTTTATAAAACTTATACTATAGGTTAATATCGGCAATATCTCAGGCAAGTTGTATAATGGTGGCCAATTGACTTTTTTTTTAAAAAGTTATGCCCTTGGAAATATAAAATATGTGCAAAGCGGGGGACATTGTAACTCTGTTCTTTTATTTTTTTAAAGGTTCTTTTTGGTCATATAGCTTTTCAATTAATTCAGTTCTTACATATCCTTGGCTTTCAAATATTCGGCTTTGAGCATTCCTGATTAAGGTAAATCCAGAAAGTGGCTTCGGATGCATGAAATTTATAAGATGTTGTTTTCAATTTTTAGTATACAGTCTAGCTAAATGTTTCAACAAATTTGTTAATATTATTAATAGGATAATGGCTTATTGCAGAAAATAAGTAGTAGAATTTAATTGAATGTTTTACAGCTGATAGTATAGAGGAAATGGAAACAGAACATGATGACAATAGTGTAGATTTAGGAACCGTAGATGAACAGGATTCCTTTGGTCTGTATGGTGAAGGGCAGAATGAAAATTTGACGTCAGAATTGGAACCGGAAAAAATAACATCCAATGAATGTCGGAATATTATTCAAAAGACAATGGTTGATGAGAATCTAGATTTAAACATAAAAATCAACAAAGATACAGAAAAAGTAGGAAGACTTGATGAGTTACAAGGGGATTTGTCCCTGTTGAAAATCAACAAAGATATAGAGAAAGTAGGCAGACTTAATGAGTTAGAAGGGAATTTGTCCCCAATTAGTTCAGTGAATACTGGAGAATTTGACACAGTCTTAAACAGTGATCAAGATGAAAAGGTTGACGAAAAGAACAAAGAAACAAGGGACAATGAAAGAGAAGAACAGAGAGAGAGTGACAGTGATAGTGACAAGAAAAGCCAAAGTGATGATGAGAGCATAGATGAAAGTGACAGTGACGAAGACAGTGAAAGCAGTGATAGCGAAGTCAGTTCTGAAGAGGATAGTAATGAAAGTGGGGAGGAAAAATCTGAAGGTAGGTCTTAAAATGTAGACAAAAAAATCAAACTAAAATGATGAAATCAAACACAAACAATTCAAAATATTGTGAAATTTATTGATTGTTGCTTGTTTATTGACAAGGGGAGGACAAATTGAAATTTAATAATACTAAGTTTTTATACGACCACAAAAAATATTTTTTGATCGTATATTGGTATGACGTTGGCGTCGTAGTCGTCGTCCGAAGACACATGAGTTTTCGCACTCTGACTTTAGTTTAAGTGAATGGATCTCAATGAAATTTTACCATAAGGTTCAATACCACAAAAGGAAAGGTGGGGATTGATTTTGAGGGTTATGGTACCAACACTTAAGGAATTAAGGGCCAAAAATAAGCATTTTTGTAACTTCCAGACATAACTTGTGTGTTAGTGTATGGATCTCTCTGACATTGTACCACAAGGTTCCGTATCACAAAGGGAATGCTGGGATTGATTTTGGGGGTAATTGCCTCCAAATTTTAGGAATTAGGTGCCAAAAAGGGGCAAAAAACAAGCATTTTTCTAGTTTCATGACAATAACTTGTGTGTAAGTCTATGGATCTCTCTGACATTGTATCACAAGGTTCCATATCACAAAGGGAATGCTGGGATTGATTTTGGGGGTAATTGCCCCCAAATTTTAGGAATTAGGGGCCAAAAAGGGGCAAAAAAAAAGCATTTTTCTAGTTTCATGACAATAACTTGTGTGGAAGTGTATGGATCTTTATGAAATTGTACTACAAGGTTCCATATCACAAAGGGAAAGCTGGAATTGAGTTTGGGGGTAATTGCCCAAAAAGTTTAGGAATAAGGGGCCAACAAGGGGCCAAAAAAAAGCATTTTTTTCTAGTTTCCAGACAATAACTTATGTTCAAGTGTATGGATCTCTCTGAAATTATACTGCAAGGTACCATACCACAAAGGGAAGGCTGGGATTGATTTTGGGGGTAATTCCCTCAAAATTTTAGTAATTAGGGGCCATAAAAGGGCAAAAAAACAAGCATTTTTCTAGTTTCATGACAATAACTTGTATGTAAGTGTATGGATCTTTATGAAATTGTACTGCAAGGTTCCATATCACAAAGGGAAAGCTGGGTTTGAGTTTGGGGGTAATTGCCCTAAACGTTTAGGAATTTGGGGCCAAAAAGGGGCAAAAAAACAAGCATTTTTCTAGTTTCCAGACAATAACTTGTGTTCAAGTGTATGGATCTCTCTGAAATTGTACTGCAAGGTACCATACCACAAAGGGAAGGCTGGGATTGAGTTTGGGGTGATGAATCATAAGGGGGTTCAAAAAATTTTGGGGGGGATTTTTTTTTCCTTTTTTTTCTTTAAAATTTTCCATTTTAAATTGGTTATTTCTGATTTATATATAAAAGCAAATAATAATGATATGGTTTGAATAGGTAAATTAAAATTTTTTAAGTTCTTAAACCACTTTCATTCTGTATCAGAAACCTATGCTGTGTCAAATATTTAATTACAATCCAAATTCAGTGCTGTATCAAGCTTGAATGTTGTGTCCATACTTGCCCCAACTGTTCAGGGTTCGACCTCTGCGGTCGTATCAAGCTGCGCCCCAACGGAGCATTTTATTAAAAAAAGAGACAAGGCATAAAAAGCCAATTTTTAAATTGATAATAACAATAAATGCTTTAAAGGGAAAAAAAAACGAAATTGATCCGTATCTGGAACTCCAGTTTAAAAAAAATATGGATTTGAAATGTAACATCATCTTAATGGGTAATGAAAACAATCTTTTAAAGTCTTGATATTGACTTCAATACACTATTTTGTAAGCTTCTACTAGCACTGAGAAATGAAACATTTCTATCATTTAAGCGGAAGAAGGAGAAGATATGTTTAGTACTAACACTCATAAAGAGAATGCAGGTTCAATAAGAGACTACAACGCAGAAGATGATGCTATATCTATAATTGATTATGATTGTGAGACTGCCTCATTCCTGATAGCACCACAGGAGGAAGAAGAGGAAAGGTATTGTGTTTTAAAAGTGTTCGTCTACCTACCATGTATTGATGCTCAGACCAGATTAATGCTCCTTGAATTATTACAAAATGTTTGTTTTGGAGTAAGATTCTATGATTTTGCAATATTACTACTTATCAAAATTGCAGGTCAGGTTTTCAATGTTGCTGCAATTATTGTTTGAGAGCCATCGCCCTTGACCTCTGAAATTGGGTTTCTGATTGTTATTAGTTTGCTATGAGTAATGGTATTAAAATTTTATAATTTCGCTGTCTACCATGAACTGTGTATAATATTATTTTATGTAAGTTTTTATACGACCGCAAAAAAATTTTGTGGTCGTATATTGGTATGACGTTGGCGTCGTCGTCGTCGTCCGGCGTCGTCGTCCGAATACATATTGGTTTTCGCACTCTAACTTTAGTTTAAGTGAATGGATCTTTTTGAAATTTGACCATAAGGTTAAATACCACAAAAGGAAGGTTGGGATTGATTTTGGGGGTTATGGTACCAACAGTTAAGGAATTAGGGGCCAAAAAGGGGCCAAAAATGAGCATTTTCTAGTTTCCAGACAATAACTGTGGAACGGTGTATGGATCGTTCTGAAATTATACTACAAGTTTCCATACCACAAAGGGATGGTTAGGATTTGCTTTGGGGGGTTATGGCTCAAACCGTTTAGGAATTAGGGGCAAAAAAGGGGGAAAAACAAGGTTGTCCTGGTTAATGGACAAATACTTTAGTACAAAACATAATTTAAAGCAGTGTAAGGGAGATAAATCAAATACATCATTGAAATTATCTCCCTTACACTGCTTTTAAATTATGTATAAAGTAATGGTTAATGAACAATAAAGATAATCTAAAACAGTGTAAGGGAGGTAATCCAAGTACAACGTTTTGGTTACTTCCCTTACACTGCTTTTAAATTATGTTTAAAGAAATGCATATTTATAAAGGAAGACCAGTAAAAATATCTGCAAATGTTTTCATCTTTTTTTTTTACAAAAAAATCCATATGAAAGATTTGACACTATATTTTTATTAATTCTATTATAAAATAGATTAAGTTAGCACTATGGTAAATTTAAATGGGTAATTATGGTTGCCAACTCCATTGGAAATTTGAATTGAGATTATGACCATATCTTGAGGGAAAGAATTTTTTGGGGGGGAAAAGGGGGGGGGGGAATAAAAAGAAATTGTGGGGGGCCAATTTTTTCTCATTTCAGATTTCAGAAATTAAAAAGAATTATTCTTCAAATATTATTTTTTTTTCAAATTTCAAATATTGAAAAATTTCAAGAAGTAATCTTTAATTGCACAGTATGGCGCATTAGATTTGTAAAATCTTTGATCACATTTATTTATTTGTTATGCCGAATCTAACAGTGTATTTGGATTTTTAATTTTGGGTCCAGTTTTCAAATTGGTCTACATTAATGTCCAAAGGGTCCAAAATTAAACTTTGTTTGATTTTAGCAAAAATTGAATATATGAGGTTCTTTGATATGCTGAATCTAAACATGTATTTAGATTTTTGATTTTTGGCCCAGTTTTCAAGTTGGTCCAAATTGGGGTCCAAAATTAAACTTTGTTTGATTTCAACAAAAATTGAATATATGGGGTTCTTTGATATGCTGAATCTAACCATGTATTTAGATTTTTTATTTGTGGACCCCGTTATCTAATTGGTTCATATTGAGGTCAAAAGGGTCCAAAATTAAACTTTGTTTGATTTCATCTAAAATTGAATTATTGGGGTTCTTTGATATTCCAAATCTAACCGTGTATTTAGGTTTTTAATTTTGGGTCCTGTTTTTTAAATTGGTCTACATTGAGGTCCAAAGGGTCCAAATTAAACTTAGTTTGATTTTAACAAAAATTGAATTCTTGGGGTTCTTTGATTTGCTGAATCTAAACATGTGTTTAGATTTTTGATTATGGGCCCAGTTTTCAAGTTGGTCCAAGATAGGGTCCAGTATTTAAACTTTGTTTGATTTCAACAAAAATTGAATATATGAGGTTCTTTGATATGCTGAATCTAACCATGTATTTAGATTTTTTATTTGTAGGCCCTGCTATCAAATTGGTTCATATTGAGGTCAAAAGGGTCCAAAATTAAACTTTGTTTGATTTCATCGAAAATTGAATTATTGGGGTTCTTTGATATGCCAAATCTAACCGTGTTTTTAGATTTTTAATTTGGGTCCCGTTTTTTAAATTGGTCTTCATTGAGGTCCAAAGGGTCCAAAATTAAACTTAGTTTGATTTTAACAAAAATTGAATTCTTGGGGTTCTTTGATATGCTGAATCTAAACATGTGTTTAGATTTTTGATTATGGGCCCAGTTTTCAAGTTGGTCCAAGTTGGGGTCCAAAATTATACTTTTTTTGATTTCAACAAAAATTGAATATATGGGGTTCTTTGATATGCTGAATCTAACCATGAACTTAGATTTTTTATTTGTGGGCCCCGCTATCAAATTGGTTCATATTGAGGTCAAAAGGGTCCAAAATTAAACTTTGTTTGATTTCATCAAAAATTGAATTATTGGGGTTTTTTGATATTCCAAATCTAACCGTGTATTTAGATTTTTAATTTTAAGTCCCGTTTTTTAAATTGGTCTACATTAAGGTCCAAAGGGTCCAAAATTAAACTTAGTTTGATTTTAGCAAAAATTGAATTCTTGGGGTTCTTTGATATGCTGAATCTAAACATGTGTTTAGATTTTTGATTATGGGCCCAGTTTTCAAGTTTGTTCAAGTTGGGGTCCAAAATTAAACTTTGTTTGATTTTAACAAAAATTGAATATATGGGGTTCTTTGATATGCTGAATCTAACCATGTATTTTGATTTTGGACATTGGACCATAATAGGTAAATTAAAAAAATTCAAGTTCTTAGACCACATTCTTTCTGTGTCAGAAACCTATGCTGTGTCAAATATTTAATAACAATCCAAATTCAGAGCTGTATCAAGCTTGAATGTTGTGTCCATACTTGCCCCAACTGTTCAGGGTTCGACCTCTGCGGTCGTATCAAGCTGCGCCCCAGCGAAGCATTTTATTGATAAATAGAAGTAATTACATTTAGATAATAAATGTTTTTCAAATGGTAACTTAAGCCTGATTCTGAAGCCCATTATAGTTTACTCCTCATAAAGTCTTTTTATGCCCCTGCATAGGGCAGTGGCAAACTTTATAAGCATTTGTTTATTACGTAATTTACGTTTCTATTAAAAGTGGGAGAGACATTTAGATTTGGCTATCCAAAATGGTTTCCAGATGATAATTTAAGTGCTTTAATTGGTTTACTTCACTTTTGGCATATGTAATATGACCTTAAAAGTAACACACCAGTCATAAATTGATTGAGTTGTTGGATTTTGGCTTTGATGGTTTTCTATGTTGATTGAATTATATAACAAATGTTTAAAATAGAATTTCAAATTGAAGTTAGTTTTTTTGTCTCGCCTTGACGGAGTCAAAAAGCGAGACATAGGTATGCTGTTTCCGGCGTCGGCGTCAACAATGTATTAGTTTGTGATTAGGTCTAGTTCATGGTGAACCACTAGTGGTAGGTCAATGATATTTGGTATGCAGTTGAATTAGTAATGGCACATCTCATTACCATGGAGATTATTTGGCCCTGCCCCCTCAGTCAAGGTCTATTGACTTTGAAACTTTTCATAGTTTACATGTATTAGTTTGTGATTAGGTCAATTTATGGGGAACCACTAGTGGTAGGTCAATGATATTTGGTATGCAGTTGTATAAACATTGGCATATCTCATTTCCATGGAGATTATTTGGCTCCACCCCCTTAGTCATGGTCTATAGACTTTGAAAATTTTGCTAAGTTAACATGTATTAGTTTGTGATTAGGTCAGTTCAAGGGGAATCATTAGTGGTAGGCCAATGTTAATTGGTGTTCAGTTGTATAAGCATTAGCACATCTCATTTCCATGGAGAATATTTGGCCCCGCCCTCTCAGTCATGGTCTATTGACTTTGAAACTTTTCTTAGTTTACATGTATTAGTTTGTGATTAGATCAGTTGAAGATGAACTGCTAATGTTAAGTCAATGATATTTGGTATGCAAATTTATTGGCATTTGCAAGTATCGTTTCCATGGAGATTATATAGCCCCACCCCCTAATTATGGTTCATTGACTTTGAAACTTTTACATAGTTTACAAGTTAATGTTTGTGTTTAGGTTTGTTTAAAGGGAACGACTTATAATAAGTCAATGGTATTTGGTATGCAGTTGTATTAGCATTGGCACATCTCATTCCATGGAGATTGTTTAGCCATGTACCTTCAGTCATGGTTCATCGACTTTGAATATTTGCATAACTGAAATGTTAAAGTATTGCTATTTTAATTTCAACATTTGCATTATCAAAATTACAAAAAGGCGAGACATATCTCTGTGATAACAGTTTATTCAATTGTATAATTGTGTTTGTTGATAATATTAGTCAGGGTTTCCTTTCTGTAAATCCTGTATAATGCAGAGAAAAGATTAAACATGATGATCTGTTTTTTAGCTCACCTGGCCCGAGAGTGTCAAGTGAGCTTTTCTCATCACTTGGCGTCCGTTGTCCTTCGTCGTCTTGGTCGTTATTTTTTACAAAAATCTTCTCCTCTGAAACTACTGGGCCAAATTAACCAAACTTGGCCACAATCATCATTGGGGTATCTAGTTTTAAAATGTGTCCGATGACCCCGCCTGCGAACCAAGATCGCAGACATGACCAAAAATAGAACACAGTGGTAAAATGCAAGTTTTGTCTATTATTTGGAAAACTGTTATAAATAGAGAAAATCTGGCTGAAGCAGAAATGTTCAGAATGTTGAGCTCTACCAATTGTCCATGTATGTCAAAACTGTCAGATGACTTCTTATAGGAGTAATTGCCCTTGAATGACAAATTTTCCGGTTTGTTTTTCATTTTTAGCTCATCTGGCCCAACAGGCCAAGCGAGCTTTTCTCATCACTTGGCGTCCGTCGTCGTCTTCCGTTAACTTTTACAAAAATCTTCTCCTCTGAAACTACTAGGGCAAATTTAACCAAACTTGGCCACAATCATCATTGGGGTATCTAGTTTAAAAAATTTGTCTGATGACCCCGCCTGCCAACCAAAATGGCCGACATGGCTAAAAATAGAACATAGGGTTAAAATGCAATTTGTGTCTATTATTTTGAAAACCATTATAAATTGAGAAAATCTGTTCAGACTGCCCTTAAATGACAAATTTTACCATTTTTTTTCATTTTGGCCTATTACCTTGAAAACTATAAAAGATAAAGAGAAACTTTAAATTGCAAAAATGATCAGTAAGACAAGTTCTATTAATAAGTCTCATGATTGAAATTGTCAGTCGACTCCTTATTAGAGTTATTGCCCTTTGATGTTGAGTTTTAACATTTTTTTGCGTTTTTGCCTTATATCTTAAAAATGATAATAGATAGATAGAAAAACTTATATAAGCAAAAATGATCAGCAAGACAAAATATACAATTAAGACAATATGGCAGAAATCGTCCGACGCAACCTTATTGGAGTTATAGCCCTTTAATGACGATTTTTACCATTTTTTTGCGTTTTTCCCTATATGATAGAAATTTTAATAGATAAATAGACACTTTAAATCACAAAAATGATCAGCAAGGCAAGATCTACTAACAAGTAAAATTTTGCCGATATAGTAAGTAGACTGTCACTGTTTATAGGAGTGATTGCCCTTAAATGAGGATTTTTTACCCTCTTTTGTGCTTTGAGCAAAAACTAAAGAAGATAGAGAGAAACTAAACAGACTAAATGATCAGCATTACAAGATCAACAAAACAGAGATTTTTGTCATGAATTCTGTTCTCGTCTACAATGTTGGAGAGTGTCCTTTGTTGAATATGCACAAAGACCAAGGTGTGCGACACAGGCTCTTTAGAGCATCTAATTGCCTTTTATCTTGAAAACTATAATAGACAGAGAGAAACTTTAAAATGCAAAAATGATCAGCAAGATAAGTTCTACTATTAAGTCTCATGGTCGATATCGTCAGCTGACTCCTTAGAGTTATTGCCCTTTGATGATATTTTTTACCAATTTTTTGCGTTTTTGCCTTATATCTCAAAAATTATAATAGATAGATAGAAACTTAAATAAGCAAAAATGATCAACAAGAAAAGATCTACAATCATGACAATATAGAGGAAATCGTCTGGTGACTTCTTATTGGAATTATTGCCTTTTAATGATGATTCTTACCATTTTTGGGGCGTTTCGCCTTACATGATAAAAATTATAATAGATAAATAGACACTTTAAATCACAAAAATGATCAGCAAGGCAAGATCTACTAACAAGTCCAATATTGCTGATATAGGTAGTAGACTGTCACTGTTTATAGGAGTGATTGCCCTTAAATGAGGAATTTTTTTACCCTCTTTTGTGTTTTGAGCAAAAACTAAAGAAGATAGAGAGAAACTAATTAGACTTAATGATCAGCAATACAAGATCAACAAAGCAGAGATTTTTGTCATTAATTCTATTCTCATCTACAATGTTGGAGAGTGTCCTTTGTTGAATATGCACATAGACCAAGGTGAGAGACACAGGCTCTTTAGAGCCCCTAGTTTTAGTTTTACTATAGAATCATTAATTTTTGTGGATTGAAGATAGAGTATTCAAATTAAAATCCTCAATTAAAAATTTTTGTGACTTGAAAGGTTTTTCATAAACACCAGTTATGAAGAAAATCACACTTTAAATGTTTTTATTTTTCAGGATGACAGAAGTAGATACAGAACTAAATGAGACAGGAAAATGTGACAGTCATGAGAAGGAATTGCCTCCATCAGATACTGCAAAACAGGTTCAAGTATCAAAATAATGAATGCTAATTAAAAGGGAAATTTGTTATATAAAAAATAGTTTGATCTCCTCAAATTTTCTTTAATAGATCAATTTCACACGATCGCATTTGAAAGGATTAAATGTTTACCAACAAAAGGTCAAATGATCTGCCATAGACACTCTTTCACATGAATCATTGTATTATCAGCCATCAAAAATTGAAAGCAATGTTAGTAAATTTTTATTAGGTTACAACAAAAGCTGCCTTTTGATAGTAAAATAACATTTTGTCTGTAGTGAACAATTTTAACATGATTTAAATGATGTAAAAGTTAACAGTGCTATTTAGCATCAAACACTAAAAAAATGGAATTACCTCCCCCCCCTCTCCCCAGAAATACTACTTTGTATATGATTCAAATAAGATCTGGGTTATATGTCAATGAGACAGTTATCAAATGACAAAATGAACCAAACAACATCAGGGGGGGAACATTGTTCTTATAAATAGTCAATTGTCGATACTATATAAAAATCAGCGTTATAAGAGATTACTTGCAGCCATCAGACATTTCCTTTGATCTCTGTTACTGACAGCTACCTTAAAGTACATAACCTTATGATAGAAAATTGTGCTACTACACGTTGAGATATATGAAGTTTCGCATCATTTCTAAATGGACTGGTATACAATAAAATTTGTGGATTCAAAGTTTGTTTTTTTTTTAATCAAAAGTCACTTTTATTTGAAACAAAAATCAAAACTAAAAAATATATAGTCATCAACATCATTTTGAATACTACACAGGAATCTCATGAAGCAGACAAGAATCCAGCAAAGCGATTACCAAAGAGTGTGGTGTATCCATCAGGATATTGCTTTGTTTTCCTTGGAGGTGGTATTTGTGTCAACAGAAAGTGTCAGTTCAAACATCATGTGCCTTTACCAGTAAGTAAATGAAAAGAAATCAATCATACACATATTTATTTTAAGGCTGGTGTGATATACTCTCATCACCAGGTGTCAAGATTTATGACTTGAGTAGGCATATACTAAATGGAAAAAAATCTTATCTTTATCCATTTGGACAATTAGAAATTCTAACCCATAATCATCCTCGTTTGTGTAGTTTTAAAATGATATATGATGTTACTGCTGAAAAACAAAATGGCAGTTATTGCAAAGAGAACATAGGAGTAGAATCTATTAAATAATTCTGTAAAGGTCATGTCAATGTCAAAAGTTCAATGCCTGTGTAATATCTTGTACCAAATATATTTTCGACATCTTGCAAAACAGAAACTCAATCAAAAGAAAACTTTGTTTAAATAATAAATCATTGGTGTGGGTTCTAAAGAATTTTAAAGATTTTTTTGTCTATTTTCATTATAGATTGACACTTACTATGCTTGTGTAAAGGAAATAAATATGGCATACCAGAATCATGATGTAAAAAGGTAAGGTAGAATTCAATATGATTAAGCCTAAAAGGCAAATTTGAACTACATCGTTATTTTCTCTTGGTACTAGTTGGCCCTTTCGATTAATCCATCTTCTATGTGTTTCATTATCTATTATGTGGAATGGTCCTTTACCCATTTGTTGACAATCTTTTTCTTTATATTCTATGAATATTTCAAATGGAAATTACACAATTCAGACGGTACTAATTAGCAATGAAGAAAGGTATGCATAACCACCTCTTAATTAAAGTTTTCTTGGCATCAATGATCTAAGGGAATGATCAATACACTTTACCTCAATTAATTGCATGCAGCCACACAGGAACAGACACTGTCTTGGTCTTAGTCCATATATCTGCAGATGCCCCCATTCAATATTCAAATAATTGTTGCTTCCTAATGTATTTACATAGGACCTTTCAGGGTTTCCCCTGGGTCAACTTTTGCTACCTCTTTCGCCAAAAAAAATAATTTTCGCCACTTTCAATTTTTTTTTGCCAACTACTTAAACATATTTTTCGTTTAAAATTCCATTTCTTTCTAACAAAAAAAAAATCAGTTTGCCACATTGTTGTCTATTATAATTCTACATATCTACTTCTCAATCTACATAGTAATAAATAAACATTCAAACACAGGCGAGACATATCTCTGTGTCAACAGTTGATTTATTTTTACAGGGCTTTTGATGTATACCATTGTTTGATTAATACCAAAGTAGGCTTGACTCCTAGAGATACACTGATGAAGTTGTTGAAAGTAGCTGAGGACAATTACAAAGTGGAGTTAGCTTTTAGCTTGTTAGATGAGATGAATTCACAGGACATGATAACCAAAGAGTGAGTTCAATATTGTTTGTAGATATAAGAAGATGTGGTATGAGTGCCAATGAGACAACTCTCCATTCGAGTCACAATTTGGAAAAGTAAACCATTATAGTGCGTCTTTTTATCCTGCTTTGAGTTGCACCATATGAAAAATGAACTTTGTTTATAGCAAAATTCAAAATATCAGTATCAACCAAATTAGAATTCTATTATTTCATCTAGGCTGGTATATTAACCTAGAAAATATTTACAATGTCTTTAGCCTGAAAATGGAAATATCAGTTTATCCCATTCATACAGGAAGAGGGGATCAATTTGACTAAATGCCATTTACCGTGTCCAAATTTATTGCACACCTTTGTTATTCCATAACCAAACTGACTGAGTAAGTGCAAAGTTTATTGACACCAAATTTGGTATTTTCTAGGCTACTATACCAACTGAGATGACAACATACAACTGTTTTTTGAACGATGCAGGTATTTTGACTTTTGCTACATGTGAAAGTAAACAGTAAAAGTAAACCTGGGTTATGGCTACTCCAGATAAAACTGTATTGAGAGTTGAATTGGGATGGAAGTGTTGAAAACACTACAAATGATTTTTCTATGACTTGTGTTTTTAATGATTAAACAGATTATACATCTTTGTAACAAATCAGTAAGTCCTAAATGTGCTTCCATAGTTTAAAGTCATGTATATATATGTCTGTTAATGTGTTTTTTAGAGTTTGTGACGTCCTGTTTCGACTGGTTGGAAAGAAAGTTGAGTATTACTGGGAGTATTTATGGAGACTATTTGACATGATTAATAAGTCAAAGAGAGACCTTTTAACACCAGATTCTATTGGTGTACTACTCAGGTAAAATATCATGTGAAAATTTAAATCTCCAATTCTCCCTTATCTGAATCGTTCAGTTTGACATGCTTTTTGTTGGAAAATTGCATACTACATTTGAAAAGTGGAGTTGGACCGTCTCTAATGAAATTAAGTAAGGTTTGTGATGTTTTCATGTTGTTTAAACGTATATTTCTGAGTGTGATTCAAGTTGAAAAGAAAATTGTAATCAATGCTAATCTGAAGAAATTATTATAGTAATAATTATTAATTCAGTTTGAACATGTTATTTGTGATGATGAGAGGAATTAAAAATAGTCAGAAAGACTAGGATCATCAATACAGTATTTTCTTATTATTTTGAATTGAAAATTTACTTGACTAGGTTTGTGTTTCATGCAGTAATTTTTCAACATATTTGTTATCAGTAAAATGCTATTATAATGAAAGATAATGATATTATGGATACATGCATTACTTGTGTACCTGCTCCAAAACAATGAAAACCGCACATATTAAATATTTTTCAAACAGGTTGAATTTGGCCTCTGAAAAATAATAAGAATAGAAAAATATTACAAGTCCTGTTATGTAATTATTTTCATCAAATGGGATTCCACTTTTCAAACAATGGTTTAATTAAATGAAAATGGAGGGGAATGAACTTGTCTTATTTTATTATTAGCCTGTTCAATAAGAGTATGTTAAAGTTCGTTTTATAATGATATGAATTTAGACAAATTTTGAATTATATTCTGTAGGTCATTTTCAAGCCAGGAAGACTTGAGGTACCTGTGGCAGGTTGTGATCTATGCCAAGTCGGCAAATTTTCCTACAGCTGCTAATGAGTTGCAGTTCATGTTATTACATAGATCAATGCAGAATATTAATTTGTACTATCAGTATATAGACAAATGGGTCCAGTTGTGTGAACCACACCTTCTACAACAGTTGGATGAAAATGTAAGTATAAGTTCAGATGGACATCAGTGTTCCAGCTAGGATTTCAAAAGGGCAGGGAGCCAATCATGAAAAGGGCACTTTAGCACACTGATTGATAATTAAAAAAGGGCATGTCAAACATTGTCTTTTATTATGTCAACAATAGGGGTTTAAGCTAGGAGTTTGAGGGCTTTAGTCACTTTTACGCGAGATGAAAATCTTATTTTGGGTACAGTAAGGGACCAAGAACGTTTATTACTAGCTATACATATACCCAAGTCCTTCAAGGACCTAGATCTTTGAATGTCTTAGGCATGCTACAAATGTAGGCAGTTATTGCATGATTTGACTAATGGGATGCTTAAACATGAAGATTAGAACAAGGATCCGGAAATCTAGTTCACAATTTTACTTGCCGGAGTTATTTTCAGGGGACATTCTTGATCAACAAAAGTTGGGTTCCTCTTTTTTAAAACCAGGAATCACAGCATAAATGAAATTGTAACGACTATTTCACTGCATAATCATTATCCCTGTAAAAATGTTTAAATCGATATTTGGAATTCATTTTTATACGACCGCAAAAAATTTTGGGGTCGTATATTGGTATGACGTTGGCGTCGTCGTCGTCCAAAGACACAATTGGTTTTCGCACTCTAACTTTAGTTTAAGTGAATGGATCTCTATTAAATTTTTCCATAAGGTTCAATACCACAAAAGGAAGGTTGGGATTGATTTTGGGGGTTATGGTACCAACAGTTAAGGAATTAGGGGCCAAAAATAGCATTTTTGTAACTTCCAGACATAACTTGTGTGTTAGAGTATGGATCTCTTTGACATTGTACCACAAGGTTTCGAATCACAAAGGGAATGCCGGGATTGATTTGGGGGGTAATTGCCTCAAAATTTTAGGAATTAGGGGCCAAAAAGGGGCAAAAAACAAGCATTTTTCTAGTTTCATGACTATAACTTGTGTGTAAGTGTATTGGTCTTTATGAAATTGTACTACAAGGTTCCATATCACAAAGGGAAAGCTCGAATTGAGTTTGGGGGTAATTGCCCAAAACGTTTAGGAATAAGGGGCCAAAACGGGACCAAAAGTAAGCATTTTTCTAGTTTCAGGACAATAACTTGTGTAAGTGTATAGATCTTTATGAAATTGTACTACAAGGTTCCATATCACAAAGGGAAAGCTGGGTGTGAGTTTGGGGATAATTGCCCTAAACGTTTAGGAATTTGGGGCCAAAAAACAAGCATTTTTCTAGTTTCCAGACAATAACTTGTGTTCAAGTGTATGGATCTCTCTGAAATTGTACTGCAAGGTACCATACCGCAAAGGGAAGGCTGGGATTGAGTTTGGGGGTGATGAATCATAAGGGGGTTCAAAAAATTTCTGGGGGGGGATTTTTTTTTCCTTTTTAGCTCACCTGGCCCGAAGGGCCAAGTGAGCTTTTCTCATCACTTGGCGTCCGGCGTCGTTAGCTTTTTACAAAAATCTTCTGCTTTGAAACCACTGGGCCAAATTTAACCAAACTTGGCCACAATCATCATTAGGGTATCTAGTTTAACAAATGTGTACGATGACCCCGCCAACCAACCAAGATGACCGCCATGGCTAAAAATAGAACATAGATGTAAAATGTAGATTTTGGCTTATATCTCTGAAACCAAAGCATTTAGAGTAAATCTGACATGGGTAAAACTGATTATCAGGTCAAGATATATCTGCCCTGAAATTTTCAGACAAATCTGACAACCTGTTGTTGGGTTGCTGCCCCTGAATTGGTAATTTTAAGGAAATTTTGCAGTTTTTGGTTATTATCTTGAATATTATTATACGACCGCAAAAATTAAAAATTTTTTGGTCGTATATTGGTATGACGTTGGCGTCGTCGTCGTCCGAAGACACATTGGTTTTTGCACTCTTACTTTAGTTTACATGAATGGATCTCCATGAAATTTTACCATAAGGTTCAATACCACGACAGGAAGGTTGGGATTGATTTTGGGGGTTATGGTACCAACAGTTAAGGAATTAGGGGCCCAAAAGGGGCCAAAAATAAGCATTTTTGTAACTTTCAGACAATAACTTGTGTGTAAGTGTATGGATCTCTCTGACATTGTACCACAAGGTTCCATATCACAAAGGGAAGGCTGTAATTGATTTTGGGGGTAATTGCCTCAAAATTTTAGGAATAAGGGGCCAAAAAAGGGGCAAAAAACAAGCATTTTTCTAGTTTCATGACAATAACTTGTGTGTAAGTGTTTGGATATTTCTGAAATTGTACTACAAGGTTTCATATCACAAAGGGAAAGCTGGAATTGAGTTCAGGGGTAATTGCCTGAAATGTTTAGGAATTGGGGGCCAAAAAGGGGCCAAAAATAAGCATTTTTCTAGTTTCAAGACAATAACTTGTGTTCAAGTGTATGGATCTCTCTGAAATTGTACTGCAAGGTACCATACCACAAAGGGAAGGCTGGGATTGAGTTTGGGGGTGATGAATCATAAGGGGGTTCATAAAATTTGGGGGGGGGATTTTTTTTTTTTTTCTTTTTTTTTCTTTTTTTCCTTTTTTTTTTCTTTTAAAATTTTCCATTTTAAGTTGGTTATTTCTGATTTATATTTATAAGCAAATAATAATGATATGGTAGGAGATACACACCAAACAGGATGTGTAAATTTTTATATAATAAGTATTGTGCAATAGCAAGAAATTTTCAATTGCACAGTATTGCGCAATAGCAAGAAATCTTCAATTGCACAGTATTGAGCAGTAGCAAGAAATATCCAATAGCACAATATTGCGCAATAGCAAGAAATTGTCAATTGTACAGTATTGCGCAATAGCAAGAAATATTCAATTGCACAGTATTGTGCAAAAGAAGATACTTCTTATAAATTGCTTATTTCTTGATCAATTTCAATGGGGTTTTATTCTTGAATTCTTGGGGTTCTTTAATATGCTGAATATAACCGTCTATTCAGTTTTTGGATTTTGGGCCCCGTTTTTAAATTGGTCCACATTGAGGTCCAAAGGGTCCATAATTTAACTTTGTTTGATTTCATCAAAAATTGAATTATTGGGGTTCTTTGATATGCCGAATCTAACCATGTATTTAGATTCTTAATTTTTGGTTCCGTTTTCAAATTGGTCTACATTAAGGTCCAAAGGGTCCAAAATTAAACTTAGTTTGATTTTAACAAAAATTGAATTTTTAGTGTTCTTTGATATGCTGAATCTAAACATGTATTTAGATTTTTGATTATGGGCCCAGTTTTCAAGTTGGTCCAAATCGGGGTCCAAAATTAAACTTTGTTTGATTTCAACAAAAATTGAATATATGGGGTTCTTTGATATGCTGAATCTAACCATGTATTTAGATTTTTGGGCCCGTTATCAACTTTGTCCACATTGAGGTCAAAAGGGTCCAAAATTAAACTTTGTTTGATTTCATCAAAAATTGAATTCTTGGGGTTCTTTGATATGCTGAATCTAACCATGTATTTAGATTTTGGATATTGGACCATAATAGGTGAATGTCCAATTTAAAATTTTTAAGTTCTTAGACCACATTCATTCTGTGTCAGAAACCTATGCTGTGTCAAATATTTAATCACAATCCAAATTCAGAGCTGTATCAATCTTGAATGTTGTGTCCATACTTGCCCCAACTGTTCAGGGTTCGACCTCTGCGGTCGTATCAAGCTGCGCCCTGCGGAGCATTTTATTATAGATAGAGATAAACATAAACTGTAAACAGCAATAATGTTCAGCAAAGTACGATCTACAAATAAGTTGTCATGACCAAAATTGTCAGTCGACCCCTTTAGGAGTAATTGCCCTTAATAGTAAATTTTTAACAATTTTTTGTAAATTTTTGTAATCTTTTACAAAAATCTTCTTCTCTGAAACTACTGAGACAAATTTAACCATACTTGGCCATAATCATTATTAGGGTATCTAGTTTAAAAAATTTGTCCAATGACCCCGCCTTCCAACCATCATGGCCGACTTGGTTAAAAATAGAACATAGGGGTAAAATGCAGTTTTTGGTTTATATCTCTGAAACTAAAGCATTTAGAGCAAATCTGACAGGTGGCAAAAATGTTCATCAGATTTAGATTTATCTGCCCTGAAATTTTCAGACGAATCCGACAACCCGTTGTTGGGTTGCTGCCCCTGAGTTAGTAATTTTACAAAAATTTTGCAGTTTTTTGTTATTATCTTAGATATCATTATAATATCTAATATCTAATACTATTAATTATGATTTTAACCTTATTTTACATGATTTCCAAAGCATCAGTAAATACAGGTGAGCGACACAGGCTCTTGAGAGCCTCTAGTTTCTTTTTCCCTTTTTTTCCTTTTTTTTTTTTCTTTAAAATTTTCCATTTTAAGTTGGTTATTTCTGATTTATATATAAAAGCAAATAATAATGATATGGTTTAAATAGGAAAATTAAAATTTTTTAAGTTCTTAGACCACATTCATTCTGTGTCAGAAACCTATGCTGTGTCAAATATTTAATAACAATCCAAATTCAGAGCTGTATCAAGCTTGAATGTTGTGTCCATACTTGCCCCAACTGTTCAGGGTTCGACCTCTGCGGTCGTATCAAGCTGCGCCCAGCGGAGCATTTTATTTTAAACTTGGTATATTTTAAAAAGAATAGTTCACGCTTACTTTCCATTTTTAAACGAAATGAAAAAGGGAAGTGACAAGAGGATAATAAATTTAGAACAAATCCAGATTCATCTACGGATTAGTTCGTGTTTAACAAAAAAGCAGGAAATTATCATTTTTCAAATTAAGTTGCTCAGTAAGAAATATATTTGTCTCTCTCGTTTAATTTGATACTAAATGATTTCGTATTTTACATTTTAGTGTCTATTAAATTTATAAGAATATGTTCATGCATGCGCAGTACATGTGCGCATGCATGATAAAAAAAGCATCTGTTTGACTCATGAAATTTTTTTTTTAACGTTATAATCGGAATTGTCGAAAGATTTTAATGAAAAATTTTATAAAATGTGACGAAAATACGTTCATATGACGAAATTACGTCAAACGACCTGCGTATAGTGATTGTTTGAAAAATTTTGAAATTAAAATATGAACTGTCCATTGGAAAACAATTTTGTTCAATTGACGAAACTACAAAAACATCTATTGATAAACGAACTGCAAATTGTGGTCTTTTGAGAAATGTGGAAATTGAAATGCTTACTGACCGATTTTACTGGGAAAAACAATTATAATGGTCAATTATGAGGTTTATTAATTAACGGATTAGTGACCCATCTGATGGCAATAAGCAGATTACCTGTAATCACAACTTATAACACCTGCTGTAAATGTTAATTAGCTGAGGGTCATAAACTTGTCAGAAACATAAAGACGGGTAGAATTATAGTATTTTCATCAAAATAATACGACAATAAAGGTACGGACTTGCAAAAAAGGACAGGGCGTCTTAAAAAGGCACAGGGCGTCAGTAGGGAAAGCCACCCGCCCTGTGAAAATGATTAAGCTAGAACACTGGACATGGATGAAAGGAGACCATGTTAATTCAAAATTTGATTTATTCATTTATTGTCAAGAATCTTTGACCACTGACAAATTGCAAGATTAATGAATTTGCTACCTGTATATTTTTAATATAGGAGAACTACACAAAATTTAAATGAATGTTTCAATTAAAATGATGTTCATCTTGTTGCTATTTCACATTAATAAAAACCACAGTACTTCCTGAATTTACAGTATAGAGTAAGAACCACTAAAACAGCAACCAAATTATCTAAACTGTTGGTTATGGATAATGAGCAACACAAGTTAACAGATAATGTAGGTTAAAGGTCAATTAGAGCAAGCAAAGTATACATAAAATATTTTTGCAAGCTGAATAATTTAAAATAAGATAATAGTTGGGGTAGCTTTTATCCTATTCTTATTTTCCTATATATCTTGTCAAAACATTTTTGGCAAAAAGTAGGAGAGACAAAAAATGTGTTTCAAGACAGAAGTTTATAAATCTGAGAAAAAGGACAAATGTAGTTATTGTTTATGAATGGACAATATAACAATGTCTTAATTTGTTTAATTCAAAAGATATCTATGTTTATTTTGTCATAAGGTTCCTATAATTCACAGTTTGAAAAAAAAAGAGGAATCCGTTAAGAGCACAAAAAGGTAATATGTGTGACAGATCTCTCCATTTTAATCTATTTTCTTCTGTGACTCTTATTAAAGCTCTGTGAAAACAGTTATTGTCATTAGTCATGCTGTAATTTAAATATATATTTCAGTTGAGGAAAAGTTTAATCCATCTGTTCCAAGCAAGAAGACAGCAACTTTGCCTGAAGAAATTAGAGGAATCTTTGAAATATGCAAATGTGAGCAGACCAGTGTTCTATTAGTATTTCTAAATTTCTTAGGTTTTTGCTTTTTTCTGCAAGCGATTGTGTTCTACTAAAAAAATTTTGATATTAAGTTTATGCCAAATAAAAAGATAGTAGATTATCATCATCTATGAGTCATGTCGTTACAGCTTTATTTTCCAAATACAGATTGATGAAAATCTACATTAGGTTTATTTGGATGAACTAGTTGTTCATTTCTGCTTATTCTGCCATTCCAGGAAGAGTCCTTAAAAGGTTGCCACTCTCTCGCATGAAAAGTATTTCAACAACTCAAACTTGACTGTTTCTGTATTCAGATACTGTGGATTCATTAATTAATGGGATACAAATTTTGTTGGTATAAGATAACGACCATTTCAACCATTTTCAAAGAATTAAACTTCGTCTGGTGAACCAACGCCTGTGAATCCTTTCGGTAGAGTTCATGAAGTGGATACCTTGGTATGCCGGGTTGTCAAATAATGCAAATGAATGCAACACTTAAATAATATTCAAAATTGACAACACTTTAACTGGTCTGCAATTTTATTTACTATGGTCTACATGTTTCGCCTGCAAGGCAGGCGTCATCAGGATAATTTACATACAGAAATTATTTACTGAAGTACCCAAACTGGTATCTTGAATTTGACGTCACAATGTGTGTTGTCAAGGTGCGAGAAACAATGAAAAGTGAAAGTAGCAATAAATAGTTATAATAAATAAGATAAATATAGAAAAATAAAGAAGTATACACATTTTCTATAGGCTTGTATAGAGACTGGCAAAACAGAGAAATCAATTATCCACGAAAATTTTATTTTTCCTCAATCCACTGAAAATAAGTATCCACAAAAAAATGAATCCACAGAACTCAATTTGACCCAAGTAAGTCAATTTGCCACGCTGCAAAAAAATTCTGGAGTATTTGCCCTTTTAATCATTCCTCCTGGGATGGCTGAATGCTTTATTTTTATTAATCAATTTTGTCTTTATTTTTTTTGTGTTTGTAGCATGTTGTATGAAACCTTATATTTTGTGTTATAATTGATAGATTATAATGGAATGTTATACATATCATTGTGCAAGGCTAAGAAACAATCAAAAATATGTGAGTCGAATAGCATTTTTATCCTGTTTCTAGCTGAGCGTAAATAATTACATATCCACACAATTTTGTGTTATTGCCCATTATACTGCAACACTTAAAACTAATTAGATGAAAATATTTATGCTCAATTTGTGAATTTTGGAAAAAAGTAGACTTCATGAAGAAACTCTAACCTGTCCTCATTAAGGCTATCATTGAAGTTGAATTCAACAGAAACATAATGTTGAGGTCACAGAGAAGGCTTTGTACAATCAGTCACTGAATATCTCAGATGTTTAGCAGGCCAATGCTGTTTCACTGCACAAATACCATGGTTGCAATATGAAATGTAGTTCACACATATTACCGGTAATAACTTGTTGCGCTTGTAAAATTTATGTTTGAGCTTAATTGAAGTTCACTCCAGCTTCGCTGCATCACAAAACATCTGCAAGTTTATAGTTTAAGAATTTAGAAATTTTCCTTCATAATGAAAGTTGACATATCCCCTATTGATATGAATTAAATTGCTTAAGATAACCTTTTTTTATGTTAAGATTTAAACAATTTTGTGAAACTTTTTTGTATTTTTGTGCTTTAAAGTTGTCTAAAACAGATTAACTTCACCAAATTACCTTGCTAAATGTATTTTATAAACTCTGATGTTTAACTAAACTTATAATGCTACAACAAAATGCTTTAGGAGTGAAAACAATGGCATTGTTCAACTGTCTCAAACATATAATATTGTACAGTATCTTCACTTTGCTTTGAGCACTATCCATTTCGGCACAAATACCAATAACCATAAAGATGCTTATAGAATTGAGAAGTTAGATTCTTGAAAGCTTGAAATCTACAAAAGGTTTTCAGGGAATGAAATCAAATCTCTCGGTTATTGATTATTTCTGAAGGTAAATTAGCTTGACATTACATATTTTATATTGTGATGTCATATGATTTAAAGATTTCTTTAGTCAGTTGACCTTGACACTATTTTCAAGATTCATTGACTTAAAAAAAAATGATTGTGATGTTTATATTTAAGACAGGTTCTCTGTTACTATAATGTTAAGTAATTGATCAGCATTTCAGGCGTTAGGCAATCATTATAATGTTTTAATATCTGTTTGCTGGAAGTCTGTTAAATTTTACCTCATTTTCATGGTTCATTAATTGTTGTGTAGTTTTTGTGAATACATGTAGGTCAATTTCTTGGTTACTTGAAATAGGTCAACAATATTTGATCCATAAAAATTGCTGTACATGCTCAACGAAGAGAAATGTCTCAAACATGACACCAATTTAACTTGATATAAAATCCTTATTTAGACATTTGATGCATGGTAGGATGTTCATTGAGGTTTTTTCAAAAGCTATGATATAAGTCTAGCATAGCTGACTGTCCTCATATAAATCATAGTTGCCATAAAGTTCAGCTTTCTTTACAAGAAGGGTTAAATTTAAAATAGGAAATAAGTACAAATATTATTTGAAAACAAAGAAGAGTTTCTGTGTAGGAAACAAAGTCAAACCTACAAAACTTGAGTAATTATCCACTTTTATCAAGTAATAGACTTATTGTGCAATAAACATATTTCACGTCTGTGAAATACTTATGTTGGAAATGGCAAATCTTCAGATTGTGTTGTTCATGTTAAATTTGGGAATCAATTCCAAGGTTGCTTTCCAGGTTTACTGTTAAAAACTATTTATATACATTAGTATTAAAACATATATATAAATTTTTATTTTTGAAATAAATATAAGAACTTTTATTGATTTTTTTGTCATATTTTTTCCATTGTGTATCCTATGCATAGTTATAGGATCTGCACATTTATAATGTACAAAAAGGAGAACAGGAATCAACCAATATATTGCAAAGGACAAAAGACTACTGATCAGCAACACCCTAATACTATAAAAAAAAAAAGAGAAAAATTACAAATAACAAAGTACAAACAAAAACAAAACAGTTAATACCTGGTCCAGATAGCATAACTTGGTACAGGCCTAGGCACACTGTATATATCTTGCACCTTGGAGGTGTTCAGTTACACAATTTTTAGGAGAAAATATGACTGTTTTGGGTGAAGCACTGAATGGATTGATATTTATCATGAATCTGGCAATTTCAACTATATTTAGGGTGTGATGCATTGACATGATATAAGTATGAGTCTTTTTTGTAGTAGACCCTCATTCTAAGTTTAATTCTTAACATGCATGCTCACAAAGTAACAGTCCACAGGAAGATGTTTTCCCGAAACGAACAATTTCAAAAAGTTTCTGGTGAGCACTTGCAAGGTGCAAAATGAGTGAACTGGTCAACAGAATCAGGTCAATAGAATTGTGTGGTGATCGTGTGTCTGACTGGAATACATTAAAATTGTGTTGTTAACTGGTACATATCTGACAAGACTTTGATAAGCAATTCATCAACACACATAGCTGTCCTGGTTTCTTATTTTCTGGACGTCATTGCAAGAACAGTTGAATAAGTTGAAATCAAATCTTTCCAAATATGATCTTTTGAAGATCCAATAAATATTAAAGTGATGCTACTTTGGTGCTGAATGGAAATTCAAAATGGCTGCCAACAGAGATCAAGGTCTTTGTATAAAGCTTCATATTTTACCATGTAGAAGAGATGGTTGATCCATGTTTAGTATACAGATCTATGCCTTATGGTCTGAGGTTTTGGTCTGGCTTATGTCTGTTGTCCTTGATCTAATTTTGATGCTTTAATGACAACTTAAAAAAAGTTATTATGAGTGATAAAACAAATATATTTTATATTTACCAGTAGAATCATTGTAAGGTAGGCATGTCTATCAGACAGGGTTCACCTGACCTTGACCTGATTTCATGATCAACTTAAAGTTAACATGCTAGTCAGTTTCTATAATACTGTAAGTAATTTGTCAGCTTCATTCTGTGAATAGACTGATTGTTAGAAGACATACAATTGTATGTCAGTCTGTCATGGTTAAATGGTCAATTTTAAGTTTTCTTTTCTCAGATACTGAAAGGAATAGGTTGACCAACTAACTGGGGGTATATATATAATGATTGTAAGGTGACCATGTCTGTATGACAGGGTTCATCTTACCTTAACTTTGAGCTTATTTTAATTTTTTTATTGGTCAACTTAAAGTTTCCATGAGTAGGGTCTTTTTTCAGATAATTGAGATGATAGGTCATCTGTATTTGGGGTATAGAATTACTAGTATTGTTAGATGTACATGTTCATCTGACAAGGTTCATGGGACCTTGACCTTATTTTCATGTATCATTGGTTATACATGTATATGTAGAAAACCCTTGATTTTAAAGACATCCAACATTCAATTCAATCTTCAGTAAAGCAGTCAAGACATATCTGCATGTGCACTCTTCTTACTTTCAAGAGTAGATGAAATCAAACCAAACCGAACAGGAACTCTTTCCCAGGTATGAAGTAAGTATTATTTATTACTTTGGTCCTAATAAAAAATCTTATATGAAAAACAGTACCCCATGTTTCTTCTGAAGTTGATACTTTCTTCAGCTATAAAAGTGTAAATTTGCCAGCTGAGAGAGTCTTGAGAGCCTCTCATATTTATTCAATGCTGTAGTAGCAACAGTATGTGTTACTTGTCTGTTGTCTACGTGTATACTGTGGATTCATCATTATTCGTTGGATACCAATTTTCTTGGATTTCATGGGTACAGGGGAACCACAAATTTAAATGTTCAATGAATTACAAATTTTTCTACAGGAATGTGTGCAAAATCTGGCAAAACCACAAAATCAAATATCCATGAAAATGCAAGTTTTTATCAATCCACGAAAATTGGTATCCACGAAAAATAAATGAATCCACAGTAAAACATGACTTAACTATTGAAAGTTAAATGAATTTATGAAATTGTTTTCTTTCAGTTCCAACAACAAGTGGATGACTCTTTTGATACTTCAAGACTGATAGAGGAAGGTGAAGTAGTTTTAAAAGACAGCATTAAAACAACCGACAATTATAAAGCCTTATATCATAAAATACAGGTAAGCATTAATACAACTGACAATTATAAAGCCTTATATCATAAAATACAGGTAAGACAGCACTAAAACAACTGACAATTATAAAGCCTTATATCATAAAATACAGGTAAGCATTCAAACTGACAATTATAAAGTATTATATCATAAAATACAGGTAAGCATTCAAACAACTGACAATTATAAAGCATTATATCATAAAATACAGGTAAGCATTCAAACAACTGACAATCATAAAGTATTATATCATAAAATACAGGTAAGCATTAAAACAACTGACAATTATAAAGTATTATATCATAAAATACAGGTAAGACAGCATTAAAACAACTGACAATTATAAAGCATTATATCATAAAATACAGGTAAAAAACAGTGTTCATGAAAGATCTCTATTGGGCCAAACGTTTTAAAAATATTGGAAACTAACATAACCAGAACTAGTATTTGTGATGTCTTGGTCTAAGCAGTTGTTTAACCTGCATGTTAAAGGCAGGCTCTGTGAAATATTGATGGGATGAATCAGGTTAACATTATGAATGATATCCTTGAGATAAACAAATTATGGATCATATAGGCATCCTTTTGACTGTTTATTTGTCCAACCCTGAGTAACCTTTAATGGATCATGATGAAACTTTGAATCAATATATTATAAGGGTAGATAATTAACCAGATATATAAATATACAACAGAATGGTTGAATCTGGCTGAATTCAAAAAGGAAGTTAAAGTTGGGGAAAAAAACAGACTTAAAAAGGGGGAATTCTTGAGAAAGCAAATCAGTGATAGAAGTGCCTTCATATGGTCTAAAAATCATATTGAGAAACATTTATCTATTTTTCTCCACTCTCAGCAGGTAGAATTTTACTCTTGATACACATGTGGAATCAATATTTGTGTCTAATAAATGTCATTTGTTGTGTATTATGTTTTTGTTATTGGAAAATATTTTGATAATGAAGAATTTAGTTTCTTTTTAAATACTTGACATTTCTACCAAAAAAAAAAACAGATACATTCAGAATACAGGAATGCTGTTCTGCAAAATCCCCACCCGAAACGGGGAGGTCTCAATCACGCACAGTTACACATTTTAAACATCCATAATATCAGAAGTAAAAGGAACGATTGTAACTATATTTTTGTAGAGTTGTTACCACACAAAGAACTGGACATTATTAGGAGAAACATTTGTAGAACTGTGTCAGCAGGGAGAGCTGGATAACTCTTACTACATAGATGCCTATGGTGTGGTGTTCCTGACAAATGTGAAAAATTCAGCTGTATTGGTTGATGCTTTCAATAAATTCATGCTTCACTTATCAAGGCAATACCAACAAGGTAAAGCTATTTTAGATAAATTTATTGTATGTACACCAAAATGACATTGAAGTTGATTCATCAGTTAAATACTTAGTTAAAACTTTAGAAAGTTACAAACCGGTCATAAATTTGGTGTACAATATATTTCCCAGAATGACTTGCTTCAGAAACGAACAATCATATGTTTTAGATTTTTGGGCAAAATGCTTAGTAGGTTCTTTGCATACAAATTTTTCTTAAAGGTTAATAACTTGTGTGTTTGTATTTAGCAGGTCTAATTTCACTTTTGAAAATAATATTTTGACTGTCAAATATGCTTCAAGAGAATATTAAGGGAAATAATCCAGCTCAGAATCTCGGTCTAGAACAAACCAGGTTTCATACTCATATCATATTAACATGTTCTCATCCTATGGAATATTCTTTTCTGCAAATGTATGTAAAACATTCATCTATCACATCGCCAATAAATCACAAGGTCACTCAGCGGTCTCCAATGGTTAAAGTTCCCTAGTAGGTAATTTTAATGGAAACTTTTATAAAACTATTTGACAGCTTTTGGTCTCAGTTCATCATTCATACAATGCATATTGTTTTCTATTACAATAAGATTTACTATTGAGATGATAAATATATTACAGAATCACAAGATGATGTTCTTGCCAAATTTGATGGAAGGTCCATATCTTATATTGGTAACCGACTGTTGTACTTTTGTGAAGACAAGAAATGGTGGATGGATGGACACAAGATAATGAAAATTCTTATTCGATATTCTGTACCATTTTATCAATATTCAGAATCTGGGAAACCATTATCGTGTATAACAGCCATTAATATTTGTCTGAAAGTAAAAGACTTTGGAACCGCATATAACATACATCTTCGTAAGTTTGATTTGGAGTTTGGTTCTGAAAAAGGTATATAGTAAATTGTAGGATTACGTTATGTTATCAAATTGCACTTCAAGTTTTAAACATGACTGTGGATTCATTATTATTCATTGGATACCAATTTTCATGGGTACAGGTGAATCAAGAATTAAAGTGTTTAACAAATTATATTTTCTATGAGGTTGTATTCAGACTTTCGAGAAAACCATGAAATCAAATATCCAAGAAAATGCAAGTTTTCCTAAAACCATGAAACTTGGTACCCACGAAAAATATAAATCCATAGTTTTTTTCAGTTGAATGTTGTTTTCAAACTTCACATGTTTCTTTTTTGCGATCACAAAGCACAATCTAATTATTATTTTGAACACTTTTTTTTATATCTTGAAACAAATTTACTTATACTTACACTTTTAATAAGACTATTTACTTAGTTGAACTTTTATAATGCATGGGTGAAAACTCTATACTTGAGTCAGGACATTTTTTTCAAGACATGGTTAATTACCCTGTGTTGATCAAATTCTTGATATTTCAATTAAGAAAAAAAAAATGCGAAGCTCAGAAACAGATTAAAATGCAAATCTGTCTGAGGATCTTTTCTTTTCTCCTTAGTAGTCAATAACAAACAGTTTGTTTGACAATGTAAAGTTAACTCATTGAAACTGAAATGCTTCAGTTTAATCTAAACTTACTATTTAGGATTAAAATTGTTAATTTTGGAAAAGATCAGAAGCAAATAGAAAAATTAGAATTCTGTGAACGTGTTCTCTTTACTAATGTCATAAATGACATGTTATGGTCAACAATGCATTATATGTATAGTATTAACAGAACATAAAAAAAAATTCAGTCATTGAAGTATAAGTTAAGCTAAGTTCAGACGTTGAAGTATAGATTAAGGTATTGTACAAAATAATAATTGGATTTGATTTTTAGATTATGGTTGGGAGGCACAGGCCAGGATGAGTCTTCAGCAGTTAAAGCAAGAAATTTCCATTTTACATGAACTGTTTGACCAGCTTTTGACTAGCACAAAACCCAGGGAAGCCTTAAAAGTGTTAGGAAGTTGTTTTGATATCATTGAAAACAGTAAGTACTTCTTTACTTTACATTTATGATGTAGATATTTAGAGAGGCATACACCATTGCCATCATATGATGCATATTCTAGTTATCCATCACCTGTCTGTTTTTTATGCCTCACCCACAATAGTAGTAGGGCATTATGTTTTATGGTGTCTGCGTCTGTCCATCCGTCTGTCCCGCTTCAGGTTAAAGTTTTTGGTCAAGGTAGTTTTTGATGAAGTTGAAGTCCAATCAACTTGAACTTAATACACATGTTCCCTATGGTATGATCTTTCTAATTTTAATGCCAAATTAGAGTTTTGACCCCAATTTCACGGTCCACTGAACATAGAAAATGATAGTGCGAGTGGGGCATTCGTGTACTATAGACACATTCTTGTTTTTCATATTTTCTTCTACTAAACTAATGGGAACAAAACCTGACAGGAATAATGCATGTATAACATTTAATAAAAAAATCTTCCTGTCACGCAGTGTCATCACCAGACATGGTATGGTCAACACGAAGCATACTTATAGAATTGACAGAATATAATGAGAGAAACTTTTCAGAGATACTTTACAGAAGGATTTGTTTTGTTAAGATTGGGCAATTAAAAGGTTCCCAAGGTTAAGGTGATGTTTTGTGAAACAGCTGTATAATAGTGGTTCAACTTGATACTTGGAAGAATTACAATATATTAAGTAGAAGAATTATTTTGATATTTTATATTTTACAGATCCTGAGTTGAACGAACATTTTGGTAAGTATGTTATTAAAGTTCTTTGAATTAAGGAGTTAAATCTTCCTTACCCTTTTCTCCACGAAGTGATAAAAAATTTGCTAGAGAAATTTATATATTTATTCAAAAAGTAACTGAGTAGCATGTTAGATGGAAAATTATAATAATTTTTATGGCGGCCATATAGTTTTACCCTTATCCGTCATTCTGTCATTCCGCAACGAATAGTTATACAGACTTTTTCCCTAAATGCCTTCACATATTTAATTGATTTTTATACGACCGCAAAAAAATTTTTGTGGTCGTATATTGGTATGACGTTGGCGTCGTCGTCGTCGTCGTCGTCTGGCGTCGTCGTCCGAATACGGATTAGTTTTCGCACTCTAACTTTAGTTTAAGTGAATGGATCTCTATGAAATTTTACCATAAGGTTCAATACAACAAAAGGAAGGTGGGGATTGATTTTGGGGGTTATTGTACCAACAGTTAAGGAATTAGGGGCCAAAAAGGGGCCAAAAATAAGCATTTTCTAGTTTCCAGACAATAACTGTGGAACGGTGTATGGATCTCTCTGAAATTATACTACAAGTTTCCATACGACAAAGGGATGGTTAGGATTTGCTTTGAGGGGTTATGGCTCAAACCGTTTAAGAATTAGGGGCAAAAAAGGGGGAAAAACAAGGTTGTCCTGGTTAATGGACAAATACTTTAGTACAAAACATAATTTAAAGCAGTGTAAGGGAGATAAATCAAATACATCATTGAAATTATCTCCCTTTCACTGCTTTTAAATTATGTATAAAGTAATGGTTAATGAACAATTAAGATAATTTAAAACAGTGTAAGGGAGGTAATCCAAATACAACGTTTTGGTTACTTCCCTTACACTGCTTTTAAATTATGTTTAAAGAAATGCATATTTATAAAGGAAGACCAGTAAAAATATCTGCAAATGTTGCATCTTTTTTTTTTTACAAAAAAATCCATATGAAAGATTTGACACTATATTTTAAATTCTATTATAAAATAGATTAAGTTAGCACTATGGTAAATTTAAATGGGTAATTATGGTTTGGGGGAAAAAATGGGGGGGGGGGGGGGTAAAAAGAAATTGTGGGGGGTCAATTTTTTCTCATTTCAGATTTCAGAAATTAAAAAGAATTATTCTTCAAATATTATTTTTTTTTCAAATTTCAAATATTGAAAAATTTCAAGAAGTAATCTTTAATTGCACAGTATGGCGCATTAGATTTGTAAAATCTTTGACCACATTTATTTATTTGTTATGCCGAATCTAACGATGTATTTAGATTTTTAATTTTGGATCCAGTTTTCAAATTGGTGTACATTAAGGTCCAAAGGGTCCAAAATTAAAATTTGTTTGATTTTAACAAAAATTGAATATATGGGGTTCTTTGATATGCTGAATCTAAACATGTATTTAGATTTTTGATTTTTGGCCCAGTTTTCAAGTTGGTCCAAATTGGGGTCCAAAATTAAACTTTGTTTGATTTCAACAAAAATTGAATATGTGGGGTTCTTTGATATGCTGAATCTAACCATGTATTTAGATTTTTTATTTGTGGACCCCCGCTATCAAATTGGTTCATATTGAGGTCAAAAGGGTCCAAAATTAAACTTTGTTTGATTTCATCAAAATTGAATTATTGGGGTTCTTTGATATGCCAAATCTAACCGTGTATTTAGATTTTTAATTTTGGGTCCCGTTTTTGGAAAATGACGCTATCAGCGGCATGTTTCCTATACCATTGACCAGAACTAACGGAAGTTGATTATGCCTCCGCCTACCGCACTCGGTTTCATATTTACTATTTTACATACTAACTGGAATCTGCTTGTATTACGCTACACTCGAACAAAGTCTTTGTTAAAGTGTTGTAGTCGGACGGGAACCAGTTTACATACGTTATTTTATTTACCAAAAATATATCTTGACCTGTCCATATGTTTTTTGTTATTAAATGGTATTTGGAGCTATCCCTTTGTTATATTTTTCATATTTATTCGAGCTTTCACTTTAATGCACATGTCTTACAATCGTAAACAATCGGTATGTATACATGATAAATAGATCCGTTTTGTTATGGTGTTGGACTTCTTACCCTCCAATGATCAGCAATCGCTAGACAAAATAGTTCTCCTAAATAATGTCAGCCTTTCATGCCATTTCAACTTTACAATCATTAAAAAAGTAATAATCGGAATCATTTTGATATCCATTGGATAGAAACTGGTCTTTATCAAGATTTACGAAGATTTTAATAATCGGAAATTAGTAATACGGTTATACCCACGCGGTGCGTATGAATCTTTGTTCTCACAGTTATAGCAGCAGAGTCTGTAACTGTATCATTATTAATTAACTGCACTGTTATTGTACTTAAAATGATGAAAACTGCATATGCAATATAAGATGTCAACTCGGCAAATACAGATTTTTTTTCCGTATTGGCCGAGTTCTGATCCGGCCAAAACAGGATTTCGGAACGTCTCTAGTTTTTAGATCGTAAGTCACGATAAACTCAAACTGAAAGTAAACAGTTGTTTGTACGACGCAGTTTTTATTTACTCACCATAAACAAGCTGAAACGTTCAGTATGGCATATATTTTAGGTTAAAGACGGTCCCATTCATTTGAAAAGCATTTTGAAAGTAGACGATGGAATTATTTCAGGTTTAGGGAACGAGTAAATTATCACAAAGTTCATTTCTTGACCTCATAAATTATTTCATCATGTCGATTTTTACTGTTCACTTTCGCTTCTCATGTTTTGTAAACGGTCTTTTATTTTTAAACCCGAACCAGGCATATGCATTCTGTAATTGCGCAAATCTTTGGTCAATTGGCTTATGGATAGTTGTATCAATTTCAACTCTTACATTATTTTTTTTTTAAATATATTTGCATTACACATGCAATGGCAGTACCTTTCCAATTACTATTTATGTGTTGTGTCTAAATTAAAGTGGTAACACTTTATAGTGACTGGAAAGGGTAGAAAAATTCATCAGATGAGAAAAGGCTGAAGATGCATGGAAACGGCACCAAATCATTAGATATTGCATCTTATAAAAAGAAACTGAGATTTGGATAGTTCCACTTCAAGGTAAAAATGTTTATCTCTTGTGAAATGAAATAAAAAAATATTGTAACACTGTAGTTAATTAATAAAGATACTATTACATGTATTTCTGTATTGGCCTTATTGTTGGTCCTCGGCCAGCAGTATTGGCCTTCGGCTTCGCCTCAGACCAATACACCAAGACATGGACCAATAACAAGGACAATACAGAAATACTTACGCAATAATATTATAGAATGACAGTATGGTTCAATAGCGGGAATCAGCCCCTCAACTACTTTTTACATAAATATTAACTTCTGGCTTCAACTCCTTGTTCGTCTTGTCTGGAGATCTTGTTGTAGTTCCAGTTAGGCAAGCATTTTAGAGACGTATCCCGTCCATCCTCTCTTGACTTGTAATTTCTGGTGATAGATTTTGCCGCTTGACGTATCTTTTCAAGCTTTTTTTTTTGTTACCGTGTAGGGGTCCCATACTATGGCTCCATATTAAATTGTAAGATCCATTCCTAAAGGTCTAGATCATTGTTCTAATCTGACACAAATTTCAATAACTGGAATGCTACCCGAGTTGAATATATGATGCCCTACTAGAACAGCATTATCACTATTGGAATTGTGTTTAATACCATGATTGTTTAATGTCATTAACTTAAATGGAGACAGACATTTGACCTGAAAGGTGGTGTGGGAGTGCAAAATCAAAAACTAACTGACTATGATATATGGTTAAAAAATGAATATCAATTACATGGGTCAACATGGTCAAGGGCAGAGTTGTTATGAAATAACAATATGGCAGAGAAGTGGTTTCAAGTTTCATATAAAGCGACCTGACTGACATGAAATAAAAAATCAAAGGAGTATCCCTATTTGTCTAATCTTCAAGGTGAAATAAAACTAGTAAAACAATATTATACTATTGTCTAAATCTACAGAAATATAATTTGCTTCAAGTAACAGAAATAACTAGGTCACTAGTAACTTATTTAATGAGTATGTGGGGTATAAGAGCTTGATAACAACAGGCTCTTCATAATCATTTGGTTTGAAAAGGATACTAGTAGTCTATATTCTTGATTTAGAAAAATGTAATTGCAAGACAAAAATCACATTACTTAGAATACTTTAGATCATTCAGGTAGTCTTTATTTATATGTACAAAAGAACAGCCAGTAGTCATTGGATATTGTAGATCATTCAAATAGTCTTGACCTATTTATTAGTACAAAAGAACAGCCAGTAGTCATTGGATATTGTAGATCATTGTGGTAGTCTTGACCTATTTATTTATAGAAAAAAACAGCCAGTAGTCATTGGATACTGTAGATCATTCAGGTAGTCTTGACCTATACATTTGTACTAAAAAAACAGCCAGTTGTCATCTTCACATAACACACACATATACGAATATCAATTATATGCTTATGAGACATGTTGGAATGTTAAACTAATTACGGTATGTGAAAATCAAGACTTGCATAAAAAATATCACAATATTAGAGACAGTGGCGTCATTTTTCCTCAGAGCTTTCAGCTCTTTGATTTAAATTGGTCTACATTAAGGTCCAAAGGGTCCAAAATTAAACTTAGTTTGATTTTAACAAAAATTGAATTCTTGGGGTTCTTTGATATGCTGAATCTAAATATGTGTTTAGATTTTTTATTATGGGCCCAGTTTTCAAGTTGGTCCAAGTTGGGGTCCAAAATTAAACTTTGTTTGATTTCAACAAAAATTGAATATATGGGGTTCTTTGATATGCTGAATCTAAACATGTATTTAGATTTTAGATTTTTGGCCCAGTTTTCAAGTTGGTCCAAACTGGGGTCCAAAATTAAACTTTGTTTGATTTCAACAAAAATTGAATATATGGGGTTCTTTGATATGCTGAATCTTACCATGTATTTAGATTTTTTA